TGATGTTGAGGTATCCCGAAGCGATGCATGAGGCGTAGCCCGAAGCGATGCACTCGACGTATCCCGAAGCGATGCCCTTTCCCTGCCTAATTAATTACAATGACACGAACTCTTAGCTGATCCTTCACCTATCTGGCTTTTATGTGATATCTTGTGACTCAGGTGACACATTTGGAGCATGCAAATTCCCTCATCCTCCGGGCTCCCTTGGAAAAACGGAAGGGTTCGTGACCTACCTCGCTGAGGATTCAGGAACCTACGTGTCACCTGACTGTTGCCTCCTAGTAAAGGCTCATACCATTTATGAATAATTTATGAATGGCATCCCGAGTATCACCATCACATCTATGCAAGCGCTATCATTGCGGCGAAGCAACGCTTCTTTGAAGTATCGAGCTGCCACTGAGCGCGGAATGCCGATGCATGCTGATGCAGTTTCTCTGGGTTTGAACAGAGGTGTATGGCCCCCAAGAAAGTGGGAAAGTAGACACTAAACCGCATCAGACAGGGAAGAATCACTTAAAGGGCTACAAGCACTCAAATGGATTCAGAGTTTGAGCTAGTTAGGGCAAACTACTAGGAACCAATCCCAAAGCCAATTACGTATCACTGTGATCATCCCAAGAGCCAAGGATCGATTTTCATATGTTTGATGTGTGGTGGATCACTATTTTCTTGAAGGAGATATTGGTTTGTCCAAAAATTCAGGATATCCCAAAATGGCAGCTGAAATACAGCAAGAATAATCACAAGGAGTCCATATAAAACAAAAAAAGAAGAATGATGAGACTATTCCAAAAATGTAGGGTTATCCAAGTATCTCCAGATCTGGGAATATGATGATAATCCTCTGGATTTGTTTGGGCATCCCATGGTTTTCCCACTGCCACGTTGTGACGTCGCCTGGACATTCAAATCGTTCCACCTTCTGCAGCTTATCGAAGAGGCTGCCGCCTCCAACGAAAAAAATCGGCACATTTTTGGGGACGTTGGATTGGTTTCGGGGCGAATTTCGGAAAACCGTTGATTTTTTGATCAAAATTTGTGTTCCTGCTTTTCTTGTCCCCGTCCAATTCTGGGAAAATCGAGTGGATCACTGAATGTTCCATGATTCTTCACACACACCAAGCTTTGGAAATGATTTGCACACATCCCACTAGATGTGTCGGAGACAAAAGGTATCCAGAACTTCTGACAGCTGAGTTGAATGAAGGTGTTGTTTGTGACCTACATGTAGGTCGTCAAACGGGGCTAGCTGGGAAATTCCCTTTATACTTTATTGATTGTGATTTGTAGCAGGGAAAATCATCGATTCTCCAGCAAACCACGTTTGACCCTGCCCTGCCTTCGCAGAATTCCATGCCCAAATACCTCAGCCCACGCTGCGTTTGTCGAAGAAAGGACATCTCTGCTGCGGTATCCGATTCAAATCAGCCAGTCACAACGGGACTGTATGATCATCTTGAAACACAGTAGAGATTCAAAAACTGCACATAAAGTATATACAGTCTATAGATAATAAATGATAATAATTTCAACATCCAGTGTTTCAAAGTGTTTCGATCTGGACATTTTGCACTGAGCCAAGCGCATGAAATGCCTCTCCTTGTCTTCAAAATGAAAGAAAAGCCTTCAAATAGCGCGAGTTCGCTTTGCAAGAGCAAACCCAGGGTGATACAAGCCCTCTCTACCACTAAGAATGCTTGGATCCAAAAGAGTGGCGAATTTGTGTGGTCAACTGGCAAAACGTGGTTGTATTTGCCAAAAGGTTCATACTCCATACAACGAGCTCTGTGAAGTTCAAATAGGATGCAAATAAAATTCATAGTACAATACGCCCTTGGTAAGCATGAATATGTGTATACAAAAGTATAAGAAGTATAATATATATATATATATGTATTATATATTATATCATATACATAGATGGATACACGTCTGCTTCCCACAGCTGTCTATTTGCCTAGGCATTCAGACTCAATGCAACATCTCCAGATCTTATTCCGACAGTACAACTGCCCGTCCGACAGCACCCTCCATGGATACATGGGCCTCACAATCCGTGGATGGTCCATTTTGCGCAGGATGTGGATCTCTCCTTGTCCGACAGCAACAGAGTTCCACAACAGCTGATGGGTTTCAGGATAGCCCTGAGATTTGTGGGACCCCTGACAGTAAAGCCCATATTTGTTGCGGCAAAATAGCTGTTTTGCCTTAGATTTTCCCTGTAAACAAACCGGAATTCTTCAGTTCCTCTTGCCATCTGCAGTTTCCTGAACAACCAGAGCTGCCTCATCTCAACCAAGTGTCTCTGCAGTTGATCCATCAAATGATTGTCCAAGATCAGCTGTAGTCGCACCTTCCAAAACTCAACGATCCGCAAAGAAATCGATCTGTCAATGCAAACCCCAAAACACTAATGGGACAACAATTCTCAACATGAAAATTGGATAAATGGGTACTGTATCCTGACTACAAACCTTTAGCAAGAAACATCTCTCACAAGGCATGTTTTTTCCCTGCAAAAAGGATCAAAAAGGTGGTAGTTTATTATACACTCTCCAACTACCACAACTACCACAACTACCGCAACTACCATAACTACAGTACCATAATTACCATAACTACCCAGCTCATCTCCCTTAGTTGGCTGAACTGTCCAGTTGGGCCCCACCTTCTTCACCGCAACCAGCTGGCTGCTCTTGAGCTTCGCTCGCCAAACCTGTGGGGCATGGTGACTTTGAAAACCCATCTGTTGGGCTCTTTATCTACGGTAAAATATGAGTCAATTGGGTGTCAATTAAGAACACTATCCTAAAACGCTGGAAACTCTAAGAAATGATAATAAGTGAATCCACCAGCCAGTAGATGATTCTGGGAAATGTGTCCTGGTTGGGGAAAAGAACCGGACCCATGAACTTGCTGATGGTTGAGGCAGGCGTCCCAAGAATCATTGTACAGTCGATTGGAGCTAGCATCATCCCACACAAGATGGAGATCAAACATGTCTTGGTGGTTGTCCAAAAGCTCGACATGACCCCAAATTGCAATTTCAACGGGAAAACAATGCTACACTGATACAACTGGATTTCGGGGTTGCCACGGGTAGCTTATTTTCAGGCGCCACAACGCAATGCGTTGGTTTTTCGGACAGCCTCTCCGAAGTAGCCACGACCCAGGCATTTCTCGAAGTGCAAATCCTGCCAGCACTTGCAGCCACTTGGGGACAGGATGGTACAGGTGTCCACCAAGAGCATAACAGGACAGGTCATCCGCGCGGGAAAATTAATAGCTTGACACTATCATACACCCCAACGATTCTGTTGTGTCATCAGAGTCATCATCCTTCTCTACCAAGTTGAGTTTGGAAGGTAATTGCTCATCCAAACATATTGGGCCTTATGAAGTAAGTAATCTCTCTGAAACGAATTGCATCAGTATATAGCATGGACGCGGCAAAACTCACCTTGCTTGCCTCTGCCACACAAGGATCTAAATACCACTTACTTGAAGTCTGAACTTTGCCAACAAACAGGTTATATATGGTTATATTATATAGTACTGCAGGATGTCTTGTCATTCAACGAATCACCTTAAATGGGCGCGCAACACGTGATTTCAAGAAACATGGCCGTTGCATTGCCGTTGCATGTTCATTCCTCAGGCCACTAAAGTCATGTGGACTCCAAGCAATCGGGGGTCGACAGGTCCGTGTCATAATTACCCAGTCTGATCATTATCATCATTGATCCAAATGATTCAAGTGGTCCTCGACTCCTTTGGCACTAGGTGTAGACGACATCTTGGGCGAAACTGGCTGCGCAGCGCGTAGCTATGCGATTCCATCCGATTTTATCTTCACTGCTGTCGCTCATTCTATAACTGCCGATCAAGATGTCTGATGTTCCAGTCCATGGTTTTATGGTGATCAAGAATCAAGCGTGTTTGAAGGAGACACATAAAAGGCGTCAAGAAATTTTAGAAGCTTGATCAATTACGGAGAATCTGCCAACGCTAGAAATGCTCACTCCAACCCAGGACGTCCAATTGCTTGCAATTTCCGTGAGTCCGAGTTATCTGATACAAAGTTGTCTTTGAGCCAAGATTGACAGGCAAAATGGGCAAAAGCAGTGTAGAGTTCTTTGATGTGCCGCATCAGCAGCATTTGCGAAGGACAATCTAAGAATCATTAACAATCTATTTGTCCCCAATTTATTCGCGAATATGCTGGTGGAGGGCCTGATCTTTCCAGGTAGAGGTGAAAAAGAATAACCACTGCAGCACATAGTGGTTCTGCCCAAGTATAGATTATGCAGTGAGACGGCTCCTAATGTATTCATCATCTTCATCACCCAATTGTCAATCAGTTTCAGCCCATACACTAATGCTCCAAATTGTCATGCCGAGGCAAAAACGAGAGTGATCGGCAGCCATCGGAGCATCTCTCATCGCGCCACGTGCATGTGGCTGCATCCTGGTACCCTGTCTCATACGGCCAGTAGATTAATTGTTGCAATCCCAATTGAACTAGACTATACAGTAAACCCATTTCCAACAACCAATCATCAACAAACAGGTGTTTGATATTGTTTGATTCATGGTCTTTTGAGTCTTTGACAAACAGGTGCTTGATATTGTTTGATGGTGTTGGAGCTTTTGTGCATTGCTGATATTGATTCACTATGATTCAACGAATCATGGGATGGAGAGCACGTCCAACAACTCCACCTCTCAACTGGTCAAGCTGCAAGCCCCAGTGGCAGGGGTATGGCTCATGTCCAAAAATGAGGTACCCACAAAATCCCATGCTTCACCCCTTTGAGATACTTTAAGCCTCATATTTGTCCTATATTTCCTATGAACATTGCCATAAATTGGAAGTAACATGAAGTAACCACCCAGTAAATAATATAGCCTGGCAATGGCAATACCAAACCCCATTTATAGACGATTCTCCCATGTTTTCCCACTCTTGGGATTTTCCAGCGACCATCCAGGACCTCGCCCTCCAGGCCGACACGTAACCTGAAACCGATGGGTTTCTGTTCCAAAAGCAATTGGGACTTACTGGGATTTGGTGGGGGGAAACTAATCATCACTCAGGTTTTGAGGGAAATTTTGACAGGTGAAGTTTGAATTTCCCTATTGGCATTCACCACCCTTGGGAATGGGGCGATTCCTCAAGGCGGCATTGTTTGATTGGGAAAATTTGGATCACCCAGATTTTGGACCAGGACAATAGCTATTTTCAGACTGACTCGGGTGTCCCCAAAACAACAGTGCATATGTCAAAGAAACACCCCAATCTTTCGATGTTTTTGCAGTGAGGCTGAAAAAGTCGGGCTCTTGGCTCTTGCAGTCAAGGGTCAACAGCAGAAGTCCTCCATGCTTCGCCTGCCAAGCCTCTGGAAATTCGACTGACAACCAGAAGTTGAAATGGCCGCAGAAGGTTCAAAATACATGTTACAGATTGTTACACAGATTCACGGTCCAGTATGCACAATATTCTTTCTGGGAAGCCCAGTCAATGCAACCTCAGTGTCAGTATAATCCCATCCCGCTGTGCTCCCAACAAACATGTGACCCTTAGGATGTGCATCCTAGTTGGTCAGTGGTTACATGCAGTTACTAACCACGACTAGCGCACCCAATTGTGATTTGGGTTCCGGTAACCCCATATTATATATATATATAATTATATAATATATATATATATATTGGCTACTAACCACTTCCCAATGGGCTATTCCCAATTTTTGGGATGGCGAAATCCCCACATTTTCAATGCTTCTTACCACTTCAATAGCACCAATTTTGGGATTAAATCATAACAAAACATGGCAATTAAGCAACCACGCCTACATCAAAGAAGGGAATAGCCAGTTAATTTTGGTGGCTTAATGTAAATATATGTAAATATACATGTGTTTATTATATATATACACGTACATTTAAATCTTAAATTTACATCTTTTTGTATCTCTATTTTTATATTTTGTGTGTCCCTAAATCGGGTTGTGGCCCAGTTCTGCCTCTGTTTGCAGCAGCTGCTCAGCCGCCACGCGCAGAGCACACCGGCCCTGCGATCCATGTGCGATGGTCTTCGGTGATATAATCTTGTCATGTTGATATTCTAAGATTCTAAATATTACATGTACATATATATATATAATATGGTTATATATGTATATTCTACATATGTATATAATATTATATACATACAGTAATATATACAGTATCAGTTGTAATTATGTCATGAGTGTTGTACAGAGAGAATCATACTGCTCACAGCTCCAAGCCTCATCGCCTCTGGCAATGAGGTAGCTCGCCTGGTCCAGGCAATCCTGGGTGGCCATGTGGATCAAGGGATTTGGGGGCCATGATGCCATGGGTAGCCTATCAGAGAAACCCATGGACCCATGGCTCAAAATGCTCAAAGATATGTGCCAACATTGAGTCAACATCGTATAGGAAAAAGGACTGTAGAGCCAACAAACTTCTCATTTTGCAAGCTTGAAAGCCGATATTTTTAGCCGATAAATCGCATCATTCAACCAGCCATTTTGAAGGGGAAATAGTTCCAAGCCATGGCTACTATAGCAAGCCATGGGCCCCTGGATTTGCCCCAATATAACATGGCCGTTGTAGATTCGATAAGGAAAATGATGATAAACCAAGAGTTCTTGGGGCAGCCTTATTCCAAACAAACCCAATTAAAGAAATTTCTTTTCCAATTTACGGAGAAACATGGAGAAACAAACCACAGTTCTGACATGTTCCGACATGTTCTGACTATCCTGCTATGAATTCAGGCCATCAAAATCTGGAGGACCCCCCTGATTCCATGTCACAGATCTCCTCCAGCAGAACTTCTGAATCCTCCTCCAGTGGAGCCTGTGGCATGCTGATATGCCAACTGGATCCAACTGCTACACCAAATAGTTGCTGAAATGTTGCTGATATGGATCAACTTGGTCACCTTGGTCAACTTGGTTCTCTCCCCATTCTCGGATGACAATCTCAACACGCTTGTATTCTCTGTTTCGAAGGTTGAAGGATGTTGAAGGCATGACTTCTGGGTGAGCCCTGGGTGTTCGATCGGAGCAAATTTCGTGTCTGAACTACTTTTTCCAGCACGGCTGCAGCTGCTGAATGCCTCTTTTGCAAACAGCTGAAAGTCGGTATGGAACCTTGCAAATGAATCTTCTGGCACCACTTTGACTGGACAAGCATATCAAACATCTGGCGAGGACATGTAGCGGCTGCACAAAGCCAATTCACAACCATAAGCTGAGCGAGATCTACTCAAACTCGCTCCAATCAACGATGCCAGTAACCTTGATTCCTGCTGTCTGCACACAAGTAGGCAGCAGCAAAGCTGGTAAAGTCCGCTCTGCTCTTGGGCAGTTCACTCATGCTGGAGATCAAACATGGGGTGCTGGGTCACCTTTAATGGGCTTGGACCACTTGGATACCCCAAAGTTGCCATTGAACTATTGATGATACAGACTTGGATTTTGGGGTACCATTTTTTTCAGACATGTGACAAACCCATAGTTGCCATAGTTCAGTACGGAACAATGATGACAGCCAAAATAACTGTTTAACTCGCAAATGTGAAGATGGTTTCGTGAAGCCCAGCATGGTTCATCCCTTGCAAAGATGTCAAACCGAGTGTAATGGCATTTCAATTCTTTGCTTCTCACTTCCTTGTGGAAACACAACCTGGGCAGGGCAACTTCAAAGCGTGCCAGTGTGTATGTGGGCAAGAAAATAGTGAAGCCATGACATGGCAAGCAACTCGAACAATGAAGTTGTCTGTCGTTTCGAAAGGAGGCCATCACAGAACATATTTGGATCGGCAGTGAAATTACTGTGTCACACTTATCATGCCTTAAGAAAAAAATAACCAGAAGCAATGCTGCATTCGATGGCCCGTTGAAGTGCTGTGAAGGCGCGGTCATTGTGCAGAAAAGACCAGCCATCACCTTATTACCACGTTGCCAGTCTGACATGGCCAGTGGACAAAAAGAACACTGGAGCAACAAAGGAGCAGGCAGAAACAGCAAGAAGAGTACAATCAACATATATCAACATGAACATGTTGGAGTTCTTACCGGCACATCTTGCGACCATGCTAAGAAGCTGAAACAAAATATATAGGTCAACCTTCGACTCAATCTGTGAAACCCTTCTCTGCACGCCAAGATTCTATTGATATTGGAATGAGACTAAACCTGGGCCGCGGTCATGAACGAGGTCAAGCTTACAAGGAAACTTGGAACAATTTCCTGCATTTGGAGAAGTGGGTGTGTCTGACAATAGGGGTATATCTTTCAACGTGACAATTTAACAAAAGGAAAATTATGATGAATCTATGGATTTCGGGGTACTCTATTTTCAGACAAACCTAGTTGGATACGCAATGTAGCTAAAGAAATAGTAAAGCAACGACAATAATCATATATATGTTGGTCAAAATGGACATTTTTTTGCCAATACATAAGTTAGTAAGGCCTGTACAAAGTTTAGTGTTGCCACTTTGCCTGGTCCCCCGGAATTGCACTGCTTTGCTGACCATGCCTTTGGACTCCCGGTAAAAGCAAAAATAAATCAAGAACTGCACACGCAATAATAGCCGCCGCCGTCCTTGTTGTTGTTCTTTTCTTTGTTATGTTTAAATTGAATTTAGATAGCAAAGAAAACAGTTTATAGTTTGTTGTTTCAACAAAGAATCTGTTGTCACAAAGAAACGACAAATAATGCAGAATTTCTGCAGGTTCAAAATACTTTAGTTCTTACTTCACCGTGTAGAAAAAGGGATGTTTTTCGAGCTGATAAAGGCCTCCCCCCTTTGGAGGCCTAGTAAAAAAACATGTGTATGTATATATATATAATTAATATATAATTATATATATATATTTGTACATCAAGAAATGTAAGGGCAATAATAAACTGCCACCATTTGGTCATGTTGTTGTTTATTTGTTTTGCTTCGAAAAGCAGAGAACCAGTTTGCAATTTCAATAACATACAGAACGAAGTAAAAACAATGATAAATCATCAGGGGTGAAAGCGATGACAACTCGTGCAATTGTCCTGGTAGTCTTTGTTTGCCATGTTCTTTCGTTTTACAATGATGTCAAAAGGGAAAGAAAAGGAATTAATTGAGCGACCTAGACCTTCCCCCAGGAAAAAGATGGAAAAAGGTCATGTGTATTATGGGTTTTTTTCGCGTTTCCCGGTTAAAAGGTCATGTGTATTATGGGTTTTTTTTCGCGTTTCCCGGTTTCGCTTTTTTTTGGGTGGGTGGGTGATTGTTACCGCTTCAGCATGCTTTAACATGCTGTAACTACATCATACAGTATACACCATAGAACATCCAGAGCCAATCCGAGGAATTCCCCTTGGACTCAACAGTTCCTGTTACAAAGTCATGCTGAGCTTGAAACTTGCCGTGATGAGAATTGCCAAGCAATATGCCGATAAAGAAAGACCTCAGTCAGTCTCATCATGCGATCAGACATCCCAAACTCAAGAAAAATTGAGTCTTTCTCCACAGGCACTACACGTTAGAAAAACCTTTTAAACCGTAAGACCTCCCTGTATGCCTGTATGCATAGCAACCACAACGCAAGACAACAATCTTCACTGACTAATGCGCCTAAACCAAATTCTCCTGACATTTCTTTGCAATGGATCTGAAGGTCAAGAGATTGTCGGAAACTGGCTTGGTCAGTACCGGAGAAAAACAATGAAAAACATACCAATTCAATGTTACCTGCCATGCTGCATCCACATGCAGAAGGGCACCATGGCTTTCTTGAGGTTTGCGGGTTGCCAGCCGCCCAAGTATTTGGCCTTTGCGTGACGAAACCGGAAAAGTGTTGGTGAAGAAACGCATGACTCGCTGTATCTGTTCATGCTGCAGTCGAATCATGCTGACAAGGAACCAAGTGGTACGCACAGCTCAACATGTTGCCTTAGGCTCTGCAGTGGTGGAACTCTTGGGCCGTCCAAAAATCAAAGCCCCAAGGTAGACCAGCGAGTTATTCCACGGAAATATCTGCATTCCGGGAATGTTTGTGGGTGCCATAATGACATTATAGGTTCACCATCCGCAAGAGATGCTGCATTACAACTATACGTGTATATATATAGTTGGAGCACGGTCTTTATCTGGCCGTGCGTTTTCGTGCACATTGGGGGGGTGGGGTGGGGTGGGTTGGGGCATGTGGTAACGTTCATGTGAACTTGCTAGGTAAGTGGACTCGTCTCTGTGTGCGCCGTTATGTGCGTGTAGACATGGGTGGGGTGGGGTGGGGGGGTGGGGTGGGGTGGGGCATGTGGTAACGTTCATGTGAACTTGCTAGGTAAGTGGACTCGTCTCTGTGTGTGCCGTTATGTGCGTGTAGACATGGGTGGGGTGGGGTGGGGTGGGGCATGTGTTAACGTTCATGTGAACTTGCTAGGTAAGTGGACTCGTCTCTGTGTGTGCCGTTATGTGCGTGTAGACATGGGTGGGGTGGGGTGGGGTGGGGCATGTGGTAACGTTCATGTGAACTTGCTAGGTAAGTGGACTCGTCTCTTGTAAGTGTTCGGGTACTTGTAACTGATACGTCATGCTGCGCTCTTGTAAGTGCTCGGGTACTTGTAACTGATACGTCATGCTGCGCTCTTGTAAGTGCTCGGGTACTTGTAACTGATACGTCATGCTACGCTCTTGTAAGTGTTCGGGTACTTTGAACTGATACGTCATGCTACGCTCTTGTAAGTGTTCGGGTACTTGTAACTGATACGTCATGCTACGCTCTTGCAAGTGTTCGGGTACTTGTAACTGATACGTCATGCTACGCTCTTGTAAGTGTTCGGTTACTTTGAACTGATACGTCATGCTACGCTCTTGTAAGTGCTCGGGTACTTGTAACTGATACGTCATGCTACGCTCTTGTAAGTGTTTGGTTACTTTGAACTGATACGTCATGCTGCGCTCTTGTAAGTGCTCGGGTACTTGTAACTGATACGTCATGCTACGCTCTTGTAAGTGTTCGGGTACTTTGAACTGATACGTCATGCTACGCTCTTGTAAGTGTTCGGGTACTTGTAACTGATACGTCATGCAACGCTCTTGTAAGTGTTCGGGTACTTTGAACTGATACGTCATGCTACGCTCTTGTAAGTGTTCGGGTACTTGTAACTGATACGTCTTGGAGGACTTTGAAAGAATTCCTTCCTGCTCACATGGTCTTGAAACACAAAGACCGTGGGCATTCAACGATGCACCCGTCAGTAACGCAATATGTGTTCATGTGGTGCTGGCGCTCCACCCTGGACAATCCAGATCCCCAAAGGTTCCTGGAAGAACTCGAACAGTTGCTGTGAGAAAAAAAACCAATCAGAAAATGTCCGCTGGAAGTGCGATCAGTTTCTTTGGTTTCAACATCATTTACTTGTATGAATGCCTGTCTTTGGTTATAGTTAGCTGTTCGATGCAAGTGAAGGTCCGTTGCAAGGTCGTCTGGCAGGTTGTGCCACATTCATCAATACATAACATGTTGAAATCCAGGTCGGTTGCAAGGTCGTCTGGCAGGCTGTGCCAACTTCATCAATACATAACATGTGGAATTACAAAAAAATGCGTTTTGGCCTAGGCGAAACACTTGTTTTTTCATTTCCTGCACCAGAATAAGGGGGGTTCTTGTCTTTGAACTCACATCAAAACAATACAGCTCGAATTAGTTGGGGAGTTCTGAGAAACATCAAAAATGATAGTTTCGCCTAGGCGAAACGCTAGATTTTGATTTTATGCACCAGAATCACGGTTTTTTTGCCTTGGAAATCACATCAACCAAAATCCTATTGGCACGACCACATCAAACATCATCCATGACACCCCGTTGATCACAAAAACACCACGGCCAGATAAAGACCGTGTTCCTAGTTACATAATGTTACATATATGCATAGATATATGTATAGATATATGTATAGATATATGTATAGATATATGTATAGATATATGTATAGATAGATAGATATGTACATATATATATATGTATAGATAGATAGATAGATAGATAGATAGATAGACAGACAGACAGACAGATAGATAGACAGACAGACAGATGGATAAATAGATAGATAGATAGACAGACAGATAGATAGATAGATAGACAGACAGGTAGATGGATAGATGGATAGATGGATAGATGGATAGATGGATAGATGGATAGATGGATAGATGGATAGATAGATAGGATAGATAGATAGATAGATAGATAGATAGATAGCCCTGAGATTCCTGATTCTTCGCCATGATCTGACGCCAAGCTAAGTGGCCAGAGGCTGCCCATGGAACTCCTGCAAGGAGTGGGCAAAAAAATATGAAATGATGACATCTATCTGTATGTATAAGTATACATAGAGTACCGTATTCTATCTATCTTACTAACTGACAAACGATCTAATCTAATCTTACCTGAAAACTTCGCCGAGCAGACCTCAAAACCAGGAATTGGGAATTGGGAGAGGCAAGATTGAACATTTTCGATTGCATCCTTCAGATCTTTGTGAAACTCAAGCGAGCGCGCTATCCAAGGAATGATCTTCAATCGCGGAATTCGACAAACAGCGTCTCAATTGTTAAATTTCGCCTATGACCTGAGATCTGCAGAAACAAGAGTGCACATCCAGCATTTTGCATTGTATAGACTAGATTCGCCACGTAGATTGGAATAGACACATAGACATAGATAGAAAAATGTCAATAGAAGGATGCGGTAGATGAACGCGATAGATAGATGTGATAGTATGTTCATATATATGTATAATATACTTACATATGTACATAATTGTATATATACACATTTTAACTTAATATAATTGAATATATCGTATATTAATGACCGGTAGCAATGACAAAACATGAAAAACAAATGACAGAGAAATGACACACATGATCAAAAATACATAGTTCATCACATGATATTTCCTCTCAATCAGAACTTACTGGTAAGTAAATCATAGCTTCAGAAAGGTATAGCAAGGTGCCAGAGGTCCCAACAAAGCTGATCAACAACAGGAAAACACGAAAAAAAAACATATCAACGTTGAACAATATAAGAATACCAGAGTCACTAGAGACTTCCCCCGGCTGTAAAAGAACTGAATAGAACTGATAGATTCTGACCCCGAAAACACGCCTTTGAGGCCACACTGCATACTGATGGAGCCAGTGATGCCAAAGACGGGTGCCAGCCTCTAGAGCTGGTCCCGGGTCATTTGGGGTTTCCCACGGGGCTCTGCCCATTGGACAATTATTTACGAAGTTAATGGTTCTCCATGGGGAAAATATGGGAAAATGATTCACCAAAAAAAAATGTCCACAGCTATCGACAATGATCCATTTACAGGTGATTTACGGATAAAAAACAGTGATTTTCCACAGTTGGGGTCAGTCATGTCTGTTATACATGCGTCTCTGTAGATACCATGGGAGAGAATGATGTTGCTGGGGGTCAAGATGTTTATCCCCCATCAATAGGCCATCTGGGATATATATGGATATATTTTATCCAGAAACAGGAGATTTACATCCAATAAAGGAACATTTTGATGGTGGAACATGATGGTTTAAACCAAAACCATTATATATATATATAGAGTTGGGGGGTACTCTGCCTTGGACAGATCAGCTCGGAAATTATGGAAATTAGGATCAAGTGATATCAAGTGCCAATGCGGCCACAAATTTACGAATGAGACAAGTACTATTAGATCTATCAAATGGCCAAGCTATACATAGCTATACCACGGAGACTCTACAGTTCGAATTCACCTGGATCTGAGGATCCAACATGTAAGCATAGCTGCGATCGTTTGGAGTCCGTCGAAATTTCCAATCCATCCAATAAGCGCGGAGCTCTTCAAAAACAATGACCTCACAGGAAACACAATGTCACAATATGTCACAATGCTAAAGATCGCACGCAATCTCAAATTTCCATAAATTTCCGCAAATATCTCACCTGCAATTTAGAATAATTTACAGTAGATCCAGCACGCCAAGCAGTCACTTGGTGATTCATTTCCTGGGTCTCCCAACAAGACAGATGAATGGTGCGAAGTGTGCCGGAGTCCACTTCCGAAATATCCTGCAGATTTCGGTGATCCTCCGACTGAACTGCTATTCAAACAACGTCAACACTCGACTGCTGAAGTGCAGCAAGCCACGTCGAAACTCTCAGGAAATCTAGCATAATCATGCACCATCTATATAGCATTAAGCGGAATCTCAGAAGAAAGAGATGGGATGACATGATGTCGGAAAATGTGGAAAATCATGGAAAATCCATATCACACCTGACTGGCTTGTCTGAAATGTCCAATGGTTGCAGAATTGTCAAGTTCTGAGACCGACATTACGGAGGTCTTCACGCATTTGACAAGGCACTTCAGGATTCCATGGAAGAACCTCAGCTGACTCAGCCTGCCCAACATCAGATTCTTCAATGTTCAAAGTTTTCGTTTTAGTTCAGGTTGGTTCGCTCCATTGGGTCCACTCAAGCTTCGGCCCAAATGCTGCTTCACAATGCCTTGCAGTCTCGAACAGATTCATGGCCCAGCAGCGAGCCACAAACGAAGAGTAAGATCAATTTGGCATAGAAGGCAGGCCTTGCGGAGTGGCACGGTCCAACTCTGCACTCCACATCTGCGAGCGAAATTGAGCTCTGTACGAAAGCTCGACGGGGCAGAGCTGAATGGCGTCTGGAGACCTTGAAAGAACGGTGCTGGATCATGTCAGCTCAAAATTTGACATATTTGCACACAAGACACGACAGGTCATGACACGTCAGATTACGAGATTGTACATTATAGCTATGTCGGCAGCTCTTTGCAGCGTCAAAACATTTTGAAGCTGCTCTGCACACTTCTTCAATTATATTCCATCATTTTCCGACGAGGGACAGCACCAATCCTTCTTGACAGGCAAGGGATACCCCCATCAAAATAGTGTTACCTCAGACTCCACCAAGGTTCAACTCTCAGATAAAACGCCAGCACTGGTGGATACTGAGATCATCTGAGATCTACACCTACCATCATGGTGGCAAAAATGCGAAACCTATCATGGCCAAGGTCAACCGAGGCTCAAATGTCTGCAGTAGAATGATGCTCATGTAAAAACCAGTCAAGCCTCTACAAGCCTGAACTATGTGGTTTCTTGTCCCATGGTCAGCTTTTAGTAGACACGCGTAGAAATTCATTGCACAAAGCGAACACCAGCATGTGCCTGAACATCATAATGCTGTTGGTCCAGCCCAACACCAAGCCTTGGCAGCTGACGGCTGCTGTTGCAGCTCAAATCCGCTTCACTTACTCTACTCGTCCACTTCTTGCTGTTGGGGCTCTCCCACGTAGGACAAAGGTCAATTGAATGCACTTAGGACCACTTAGCCCCATTGTTCTCCAAGGAACAGAAGGTGATGTGCAACAGGGTCCTTGGAAACTGCGTAGCACGGAACTCTCCAAATCTGCACCACATCTTTCGAAGAAGGCAAGGATGTGTCTTCCAGCTTTGAGTGCAAACAAGCTTATGCAGCGGTACATATCTACATAGGAAATTGTATTCACAGCAAACCATTCTGCCTGCGCTGGATATAGACACTGCCCACTTACAAAAATGTCCAAGTCCAAGTCTCTTGGCCCACTCTTTTGTTGCTGCATCTTCAAAGTCCAGTTCCATGGCTCTCAATTCGCCCGGTCAACTTTGGAACCCCGTGCTGCATCCAGTTCCATGATTCCTGTGGATGGCGGCCCGCAGCAAGGAAGCTTTTCACATGCCACAGAGCCTGCTCCTCCCCATCAACCACTTCAGCCCAGCGATCTGTGGCCTGCAAAAGATGCAGTCAGTGGATCTTACCTTGCCGATGGACGTTGATCTTGTGCGTCTCGATCATTATCCATCACATGAACTGCATTAATGTGTCAAACCCAATGCTATAAACCTACCATTTGTGGATGGTTTATACGACCCATTTCTGATAATTTTTGGGATGGTTTATTCTTGGGTTGCCATATTAACACACACAATCTCGCTGAAGTGAGGTCGAGACCTCGTCTTTGGGCATTTCGGCCTCGGGCGCCGGATCAACTGAGAGATTTTCTAACACATGCCATCCCTATGTCTGCGTGTGTTGTTCTTGACCTCAGCGCATTTTCTGGCAAAAGTAGTATATTGGCTACACATATACATACAACTAGGCTAAAAGAAATAGTTGTATGAGCATACTATATACACAATCTGTGCGTAACATGTGGAATATGAATATGATCCACTTGTATAACTATGCACATAAGTCTGAGTGGAGATATCAAACGTCACAAAACGTTAATCATATATATATACATACTATTCTATTATACATATTATACTGTATATATAATATAGACATATATAGACTATATAGACTATATAGATAGACAATAGATATTCAAAAAAAACTCAAAATGGTCCACTGAGCTGCCAAAATGGATCCAATGGAAGCCACCAGGTGGGTCTGAAGCTCGACGACCTGCCCAGTTCAGCAGCGTGGTGATGGAGTTTTTGAGGTTGATCCTTTCGGGGAAACGCTACTAGTACAGCAACTTAGAAGTTGATCTAACTTATCTTAACTTATGATGACATAACTATAACTTGTAGATTCTTGCAGCATCTTATCACCTTCGATTCTTCGTGTGTCAATCGACTCAGGATCACCAACTGCCTCTTCATCACAGAGATGATCCACCGCTGCTGACCTACAGAGAGACTCAATGGAACCTTGCGGATACTGTCGTAATCAGCCGGCTAAACGTTCAGTCAAGGTCAGTAGTGTGCCTGTGATGTCCACAATGGATTGCGAATAAATGTGAATTAACCTACGTACCAGTACCTGCGTCGTTTTGAACTTCATTATAGGATAGCACAATTAAAACATATTAAAACCTATGACTATGATTCTGATACAATAGTCTAGGGATGTTTAGACGATGAACATTGACATCCTTTACAGTACTTGTCCGATTCATTTTCCATTTGAACACCACAGCACCAGGGTTATGATCCCCAGCTGAGACTGCAACGAGTCAAGCGCCAATAACAGCTGCAGCATGGCTTTCAATGCAGCTTGCCGCACCTTGGACGTATGCTGAAGCAGCTGGCGGTCATTTTCTGTGATTATCAATGTGTCAGGCACTTCAAATTTGGATCATATAGACTTATGTATATAGATTGTAAAAAAAAAACGAGTATGTTAGAGCATAATTTGTATGTGCATACCCAGAGAATATTGCTAAACACACATTCACCGCTTTCACCCATTTTTCGAGGACAGACCAACAAGGAGGATCTGTGAAGCAGATTGAACAGACAGGGACTCCTCTCAAATGATTTATTTCAACCGGAATATGACTGTGGACTGTGGACATGACAAAAAATGATAAAGATGCACGCAATCTTGCCCCATGGTGACAGGTTTTGAAACCGCTGAAATCTGCTCAGGAGGTCGTAGCTTCTGTGACACCGGCATCCTTGGGCTGGGATAAGAGCTGTTGGACTGAAAGTTTGTCCAGCGGACACACCGCCTTCAAGCGCAACCAACGATCAATGCAAGAACGATGAAAGGTGTGGCAGCACGGCAATCGTCGAACTTCATCCCCTTTCAACAAGTTTTCGTGGCAAATAATGCATGGCTCCTCTGAACTCCAATCTTTCGTCAGGATCATCACAGGTGCCGCAGCGAAGAATTCCTGCGCACGGTCGCCCAGGGCATTCTGACGCCGCCACTGACGCCGCCTTTCTGGTGGGTCTGGAGCTGAAGAGGTGGCGGGTCTTCGAGAGGTGGCCGTCACTTGTGCACGTCGTGCAACCAAACTTGGCCCAGTGGTGCCAGTGGCTGGGCGCCGTTGGGCCGTTGCAGATGTTGCAGTGCCATAGCTCTGAGACCGCCTTTGTCGTGCTCGAAGCAGAACTGCCCGCGCTTGTTGGGACACCAAACTCAGCAATGGTGCCGTGTAGCGAGGGCCAGGGACAGGTCGCGCAGCTCCATTTCGAGGCACTGCCCAGCGTTGCCAACCTTGCCGAATGGCAGGAGGGTAACACCACAACTTGGGACGTCTGACATGGCTCGACCTCCGAATGCTCAGGATGGCCATCAACCTCTGCAGCTCATCATTGGTCACCAACGGAGAGACTGCCACCCATTCACCTGGTGCCATTTGAAGCTCCTCGTCGCCCAAACATCGCGAGTGTAGCCACTTTGCTTGCTCTCGTTGTGAATCTGACATCTCTGCCACATACCCAAACCGCAGCTCACCCGGAACAAAGGGTGCCGTGCACACACAGCAAACTCCATGAGCTGCTGAGCTGTTCCGAAGCCGTTCCACATAAGCCTGGGAATAGGGCACCTGGGGCAGTAGTTCCTCTGGATCTTCATCAAACCTCACAACTTCTGGTTTTTCCTGTGGCTGCACGTGATCTGCAACAGCCACTGGAGCTACTGGAGCCGCTGGCAACGACAGTTCCTTGGGTAACGTCACACAGCTCAAGGGCTGCAGTGGCTTGGGTGCCTTGGGCTGCGACTGTCTCCACGCCTTGAGGGACAGTGCCAGCAGTGACAAACTCGGGGCCGGCGGCAACCGGCGGGTGGTCATGGGAGGCGCTGCTAGAGGTTCTGGAGGTGGTGCTGGAGCTTTTGACACCACAAAAATCACATCATCTTTGGTACTTGGGGATTTCGAAGTTTGGGGTTTTCCAAAGAACGCCTCTTCATACGAGGAGCAGGTCTCAATGACTCGGTCCTCATCATCCAACTCAATCACCGGCTTCGGCTTCGGCTTCGGCTTGCGTTGCTTCGGTTGCTTCGGTTGTCTTGGTGCCACTGGTGTTTTCCGCAGTCGCTTCGCTGGCACCAGGTCCACCGTGGGAACCGCGGCTCTCCGACGCACCCGTGGCCGGGAGACCTGCAGAAGCTCCAGCTCTGAGTCGTCGGAGTCGATGTCCATGGCATGGCACCGATCCCTGTGGCCAGGTCAGGAGGTAAGAATGGTAGTCTCAAGGCCAAGGGTTTCCAACTAAGTGGCACTCAAAAAAAAGTGCTTGAAAGAGACATTGATGAATGATGTAGATGTCTGTGAAATGTTTGAACTGCTGTTGAAACAATTCGGGCACAAGGACACAGCTGCGGTAGATAGGCGAAGGTTGTTGAAACAATGCCAGAAGGACACTTCACATATCTTCTCTTCTTGGCCCTGTTCCTATTTTGCATAGTCTGATGTTCCATTACAGCAATTCACGAAACCATTCGATACCAACACCCACACAATGTCTGTACCTGCTTGATTCATCTTGATTCCATGTTGGGATATGTTGGGATGTTTCCTGCCGGCACTATAGTCCTCCCAGGGAGCCCCACAGCCACTTCCGCCGTGCTCTCCATGGCTGCTTTGGCCAGGATTGCCGGCAGATTGCCATCCTGGTGGCTGCTTTTGGTCGGTTTTGACATGCAACTGCCATTTTTTGGATATGTGTTGTTTGGTTTTTTTTGATGACCCACAAAATTTGGGTGACAACACACGAAAAAATTGGGTACCCTCTGGTAAACTAACTAACTATGGAAAATCACCATTTTTAATGGATAAATCCTCTTTGAATGGCCATTTTCAATAGCTATGTTAGTTTACCAGAGGGTAGTATGACCCCTTTTTGATCAACCGTTTTTTCAAGAAAACGGGCCTTCGGCTGCAACCAAGCTGTGGGGTCGCCGCTGGCTGACAAGGCGATGGCTTGCAAGCACGCCTCCGTTGTAGCGGGATGATTATATATTCGTGTGCGTATGAACATATATATATATATATGTGGCAGGGACCTTTGGGGTCTATTTCGTTCCTCCTCGCACAAACGTAATCAAACGTCATTCTATATGCATATATACTATATACACAAGTAAATATGTCTACATGTGTGTACAAGTTCAACAGAAAGTCGCCATTTTTTTCCCTTGCCCCTCAACCTGCGCAGCGTCCGTTTTCTGCTCCAAGAGATGCTGTCACCAGCACGCGCGAACGCACGCCAATTTGAACTCTGGGCAGAAGAGTCCTCCAGTGTCAATTGTGTTGCTTTCCATCCCTGCAAGCTACAAAGTTTTGGAATGCGCATGCAAGTTTGGGACTCTTGTGCGCTCATGCATGGGAATGTTTTGGTTGTCAGGAGTTTGTAGTTGTTCAACTGGTTGCAATCTTAGTAATAAGCATAGTTTTATAGAAAAAACCTTAAAGGAACCTCATGGGCATGTAACACAAGCAACAAAGCAATGCAAACATGTTCCACCACTTCCACCTGTAGTGATGAAGAGGGAGGGTGATGGCGGCCAACCCCCTTCATTTTGTCATACTCATCACTTCATTGTTTTTGGCCCCGCTGTCGTCCCCTCTCAGGATCCTTTGAATGAAGAAGAGTTGCAAAAGCAGACCTCGGACCTCTTGGTGAACTTTGCATACAGGCTGCAGATGGATGGCCTGATGCCTGACCTGCCAGAACAGCCACCAGGTGAGCCCAGTAGTGGATCTGGTTTTCTGCGAGAAGTGGAAGGTTCTAAAGCCAAACACCCAGGTGCACCACTACTTGAAGCTTCTATGGCAATGGCACCTGGCCCAAGTCCAGGTATCTGCGCGTCTTCACCAGCCAGTGCAACTACGGTTTTGCCAGTTCAACCTGATGTTGGTTTGTTGGCACCTGCCACTCCTGAAGTACCCCCTCTGAGGCTTCAGCAGCATGCATCCCCAAAGAACTACCTGGTCCAGTTCCAGAAGCAATGGGGGAGGTTGACCTGTACTCCTGACCAGGTGAAGAAGCTTCTTTATTGCACCAAACAAAAAGGCTCTCAAGCTTCGACTGGGCCGTCCTCTACTCAAGATGTATCTGATAGGAAACTCATACATTTTCTCAAGCATCATATGTTTCTATGGTTTTGCTTTCTGTGTGGGATTCAAGTTTCTTGATCTATGCATCTAGTATTGTTCATTCTCAGGTACCAGAGTTCGTGCCTCCTCGAGGAACTTCTAGTGGAGGTTGGTTCAGGAAAGTTTCTGGGCTAGTAGTTGCTTGGAAGCTTGGAGAAGCGCACAGGATGAGATGCCTACTATAACGATGGGAAGAGGTTTCACGGGTGAAGGCGTATGTGGCAGCTTTGGTGGGCTACGTCAAAAAGTGTGGATGGCAAAAGAACTTGAGAGCAGGCGGAAGCGGACGAAAGGTAGTGTAGTGGGAGAGGAGTGGTGTCAAAATGCTGCGCCCCTAAGATGATACACCAAAAACGTTTTTGCGCAGTCTAAGATGATTTTATCCAGAGCATGACTGCATGACACTGTGTCTTGTGCTGCGTGAAATGATGCACGAAAAGGGGTTTATTAAAAACCCCTTTTTAAGACCCCTTGCAGCAACTGTTATTGAGGCTGAAGCATACCAATTATGCTGGACTACAGGGACATCTCCCTCATGGAAAGTGTGCCTCTAATGTGGGGGCCCGTGACCGCGTCACCCGTGGGAATTGAACCCATGACCATTTTCGGGGGGGGGGGGCCCCCCCCCTTATAATTGATATCCAATACATAACGGCGAGAATTCCATGAATTGCACGGGCTGGCCCCCCAATACCCCCTAAGCTTGTGCTGAAGCACGGAGAACTCAGGTAGCTGACGCTACCTTTCGTGACTTGGAGGGTGAGTATGGCTTGAACACTTGTACTCGCCTAAGATCTTACTGACTCCAGCAAAGCCTAGACAAAGAATGTGGACCGTCTTGGTATATGTAGATGAACTGCACCCTGGCAACCAATTGGCAGGGAATTCTAGGAATACATGGGCAATTTACTGTTCATCTGCCCAGTTTGGGGCCACGCTGTCAAATTCTGGGAGTTGGTTGACGTTGCTCGGGAAGAGGAGTGAGCAAGTCTCACAGCTGGCAGCCAGCATTGGCCATGTTTCAGGCGACCCCGGAGCACACGTTTGACAACAAATATGCTCATCCTCATTCTGAGGTACTTTTACAGGGAGGTCTTAAAAGACTGAAACTCTCTGTTGGATGTTGCAACAGACAACAGATCCTGTCCTCGTGGGCAAGGATGCAAGAGTGCAACAAAACCGAGTTAAGAAGGTGGAGCCAGGCTTCTGGGGTTGATTATTCCCAGCATTCACTCTTGCTGAGTGACAAGCTGAAGTCCCAGAACCTTCTGAGACCAATCACCCAATACATGCATGATTATATGCATGGGCTCTGCCCAAATGGTGTGCTGAACTAGGTATTTGTTTTTGTGGATCCAACCGCTTGCTTCCAGTGGTGTGGCTGAGATTTGGAAGGCACATGGCTTTGTGCAACTTTGGGCCCAGCCTGCCATTCACAAATGCAATTTGAAAAGGCTATTTCTGCCCAAAGCAGTGGGAGGCCACAAAAAAGCTGGGAAGTTCAGATGCATCCTCAGAGATTCTGGGTCTGTACCAGGTGCTGGCACACTATGTCCAAATTTGTTGCTTGCCTAATGGCATTTGTCTTCTGGGGTCAACTTGCTCTTTGGCTTGGTGCAAAGTTTTGGACTATCGCCTATCCATCCCTGATTTGGAAAAGCCTGACTACAAGCAATTGCTTTCATTTGTTGAAGCAGCATTGGAGGCAACTGTTGCAGCTGACTGGTCGGAAGAATTCGAGCCAAAGATGCACTGGTCACTTCATATTATAGTCAAAGTCTCCAGAGGCATGGCCAATTACCTGCATGCTGGACCATGGAAAGGAAGCACAAAGGCACTAGAAAACATGGGAATGTCTTGTGCAACACTACCTATTGGGAAACTTCTCTGAGGAAGTCTGTCATTGCAGGGCACATCTATACATTGGGTGAAGAGTCAAGACTGTTTAGAGAAGGCACCTGCCTACAAAATGCAAAAAGGGGGCCCCACAAAGAAGATGACGGCATTCCTATGCAATGCTGGCGTGGTTCCTGTGGGAATGCCTTGCATGCAGAGCTCTCGTTGTAAACTTTTTTCTGGGGCAACAATTACTTCTGGTGATGTTGTCTGTTTGCACAATGTGGATGGAGGCTCACCAGCTGTCAATGCAGCTCAAGAGCATTGCTTTTTGAAAGTCCCATGTGGTGATGTGGCCCTTGTCGAAAAATATTTGTTCCAGGAAATTTCAAACAAACATCCGGGTGTTGCTTCTTTACAAGAAATCTCGTGTGCTGTCACTTACAATGCTGCCAAAGGCAGGGTGACATGCCTCACCCCTGCATTCTTGCAACTTTGAAGGGACATGCAATTTCCATCCACAGCAAATGTCTGTGGAAAACAAGCTTCGGTGGTATGCCCAACAGCCGCAACGTTTTATGTTTACTAATCTTTCTGAAGCCTGCTGCCAAGCCAAGCGCTGGAAACACTTCAGCTCGGTTTCCGTGAGTTAAATGGCCACAAATCCTGTTGAACTTGACCTGGCTCTGCACCAAAGCCTCCCAGACCTTCTCCGGAACCCTGTTGAACCTGACCTGGCTCTGCACCAAAGCCTCCCGGAACCTTCTCCGGAACCTTCACCAGAACCCTGTTGAACCTAACCTGGCTCTGCTCCAAAGCCTCCCGGAACCTTCTCCGGAACCCCGGAGCCCTGTTGAGCCTGACCTGGCTCTGCACCAAAGCCTCCCGGAACTTTATCCGGAACCCTGTTGAACCTACCAAAAGGCTCTGGAGGATTAAAAGGATTAAAAGGATCAAATCATTTAATCCTTTTAAACCGTTTAATCCTTTTGATCCTTTTAATCCTCCAGACCTCCCAGAATCCCAAGAAAAGCCCAGCAATTTAATTCTTTAAATCCTTTTAATCCTTTTGGACCGGGAATTCCGGACCCCCTGGAGGATTAAAAGGATTAAAAGGATTAAAAGGATTAAAAAGGATTAAATCATTTAACCCTTCTAATCCTTTTAATCCCCTAAAGGGCTCTGGAGGATTAAAAGGATTAAACGGATTAAACCATTTAATCCTTTTAATCCTTTTAATCCTCCAGACCTCCCAGAATCCCAAGAAAAGCCCAGCAATTTAATTCTTTAAATCCTTTGAATCCTTTTAATCCTCCAAAAGGCTCTGGAGGATTAAAAGGATTAAATGGATTTAAATATATTTCTCAAGGGCTTGGGCCCGGAATTCCGGACCCCCTGGAGGATTAAAAGGATTAAAAGGATTAAATCATTTAATCCTTTTAATCCTTTTAATCCCCCAAAAGGCTCTGGAGGATTAAAAGGATTTAAAGGATTAAATGATTTAATCCTTTTAATCCTTTTAATCCTTTTAATCCTTTTAATCCTTTTAATCCTCCAGACCTCCCAGAATCCCAAGAAAAGCCCAGCAATTTAATTCTTTAAATCCTTTTAATCCTTTTAATCCTCCAAAAGGCTCTGGAGGATTAAAAGGATTTAATGGATTTAAATATATTTCTCAAGGGCTTGGGCCGGGAATTCCGGACCCCCTGGAGGATTAAAAGGATTAAAAGGATTAAATCATTTAATCCTTTTAATCCCCCAAAAGGCTCTGGAGGATTAAAAGGATTAAAAGGATTAAATGATTTAATCCTTTTAATCCTTTTAATCCTTTTAATCCCTTTAATCCTCCAGACCTCCCAGAATCCCAAGAAAAGCCCGGCAATTTAATTCTTTAAATCCTTTGAATCCTTTTAATCCTCCAAAAGGCTCTGGAGGATTAAAAGGATTAAATGGATTTAAATATATTTCTTAAGGGCTTGGGCCGGGAATTCCGGACCCCCTGGAGGATTAAAAGGATTAAAAGGATTAAAAGGATTAAATCATTTAATCCTTTTAATCCTTTTTAATCCCCCAAAAAGGCCCTGGAGGATTAAAAGGATGTAAACGATTAAATGATTTAATCCTTTTAATCCTTTTAATCCTTTTAATCCTCCAGACGTCCCAGAATCCCAAGAAAAGCCCAGCAATTTAATTCTTTAAATCCTTTTAATCCTTTTAATCCTCCAAAAGGCTCTGGAGGATTAAAAGGATTAAAAGGATTAAATCATTTAATCCTTTTTATCCTTTTAATCCCCCAAAAGGCTCTGGAGGATTAAAAGGATTAAAAGGATTAAAAGGATTAAAAGGATTAAATCATTTAATCCTTTTAATCTTTTTAATCCCCCAAAGGACTCTGGAGGATTAAAAGGATTAAAAGGATTAAATCATTTAATCCTTTTAATCCTTTTAATCCCCCAAAGGACTCTGGAGGATTAAAAGGATTAAATGGATTTAAATATATTTCTCAAGGGCTTGGGCCGGGAATTCCGGACCCCCTGGAGGATTAAAAGGATTAAAAGGATTAAAAGGATTAAATCATTTAATCCTTTGAATCCTTTTAATCCCCCAAAGGACTCTGGAGGATTAAAAGGATTAAAAGGATTAAATCATTTAATCCTGTTAATCCTTTTAATCCTCCAAAAGGCTCTGGAGGATTAAAAGGATTAAAAGGATTAAATCATCTAATCCTTTTAATCCTTTTAATCCTCTGGAGGATTAAAAGGATTAAAAGGATTAAATCATTTAATTCTTCAAATCCTCTCAATTATCCAAAAGGCTCTAAAAATTATCAGAATTAACCGGAACAAAATGGTACCTAAAGGTCTCTCGATCATATATATAATATATATATATACATATATACATAAGAAAGTAATGATAATAATGTGCGTGCGTATATGTAGAAATTGGATTTACCCAACACAACGTCAGATCTGAGCAACACAATGGAGATCCAACCAAGAAACGGCAAGTTAACCAACTATCATGGGGCCATAATGTGATATAACCAATTATAGCCATTATAGCCAAAAACATTGGTGCAAAACACTATTTAGGTGTGTCTGACAATGGGGTGTCCCCCAAAAAAAGCTGAAGAAGAAGAAAATTATGATGATGAAGAAGAGGATGAGGAAGATGAAGATGAAAACGGAGCATGTATTGGGGTACTTAATGATATTTAATGTATTTCAAGATTAGGGGACCGGATTGTGAGGGTTGCGGGGTATACTATTTTTCAGACCAACCCATTTCCAAAAAATTGGCTCATTCTTTCCTTTTCATGGTTTTTCAATGGTTTTCCATGGTTTACCCGTTGCTGTATGAAACATCCAGGTCTTCAATGAAAAACTACAAGCAACCAAATGGAAGGGTAGCTGTGATTTTTACGGTGCAATTTATTGCCACATGCCTGGCAGTGGCCTGTGTCGTGAACGTTCACGACATCAGCAGCAGGACATCAGATACTTTTTCCGGCACCACTGGGAGTCTTGGCATTGCAAGCATTGGATCAATTGCCTTTTGTCACTGCTGGAAATATATGGAAATATGAGGTTGGCTCCCTGTCACCCAAAATTGAAATGGATGGTTCATCCCAACAAAATACAGCACATCCAACATGACTCTTGCGCTGGAGTCTTTCTCAAAAGGCAAGCCACTGACCTGGAATTGCAAAAGCCAACCGATGCAAACTCTCAACTGTCAACAACATGTATTTAATCACCTTGGCTGGGTTCCCAGAATTCATGTCTTTGTTTTGTTCAAGTCATTCAACGAGGAAATCCACCAGTTTTCTTCATATTCTTGTCTGCAGGACCCTGGTAAAAGAGTCCTAAGTTTCACAGGTCAGACACTGAATTTAACATGAGATGGGCTGACATCCATCTCAAGCAGCGGTGAAACAAAATGAGCGGGCATTCAAATCGCAAAGATCCAAAAGTCAAGATGCTCCAAATTAGCATGCGCTGTCATTTTCATTTATTGATTGGCATGCATGTAATGTATAGAAAATACTCATCTATTGTGTGCCTGGCCACATCAACTAATTGCAAATTGGTTTTGACATGTTTTGACAACTGCTTCCACATGTTCCTGCATTTCAATGGAAAACACGGGATCATACGGGATCCAACTCAAGAGTAGGTCATGCATTATTTACACTTTATCGAATCAAAGCTGAACCAAATCAAGCTATTCTCATTGGGTAGGTACATAATGTACATCTGTGTACATAGGGTACACCAATCCTCTACTGCCATGGCGATTGCGTGGCAGCCTCAACAGTTCGGGCTGTCGATGGAGAGAGAATCGTTTCAACTGCCTGGAAGTGTGGTATTCTTAGAACAACTGACGTCTCGAAGCTGGGGAAAATCCTGAAGTCGTTTCGGAAGCCTAGTGTCGATTGACTTTAATTAAATGCTTCTGCTGCTTAAGAAAATCCGATTCATGTCAAACAATCATCTCAAATAATCTCGCTAGTAAAATCATAATGATTATATCAGCAAACGTCAAGCGAGAGGGATCACCAGGGTCGACTGCCCTACTACATTCAAACATATCTGATTCTCATATAACTATATATTATATATGTATATATAACTATTTATATGTATCTATAACTATATGTATATATGTATTATATATAATAATATATATATACATTATTAGTATGCCAATATATTCTATAGTCTATAGATGTCTGTAGTATATTACAATATATTCCAGTGCCGTTCAACGTGCGGATTTCTGGCGTTCGAGTTGACGTTTGACTGAGCTGCTGGCGAGTCAGGTCTCAGTGAGATCTGGAATTGGCTTGTGAGGCCTTTTTGGATTGTCTCACGTGAAGGCCATGTTTGGGATATGATGCGAATGGGAAACTATGTGGGGATATGATGGGAATGGGATTGGCGTATATGATGTTTATATGTTATATCTTCTACATTATTTTGCATGATATGCATGTGCAACATGTCCTGTACATTCCTGTACTACTTTATCTTTATTATATGCTTTCTTGTAATGGATACCTGGCAGTTCCAACAAACGTTGCAAAGATCACCTTTTTTCGATGGGAGTCAACCAATAAGAATGTCGTGTGGCTGACAAAAGAGATCAAGGGAAAACATATAATCAGCACAAGTCTTGGATTTAGTAAAAGCAACAACTGGGGATGGATGATGCAATAACCAGCAACCAATACAAACGGCTCTTGCCAAAAAAGGCTTCCAGCCCCATGAATTGATTAATCAGTCATTATTAGTCAATAATCGGACAAACACCCCTCATGACCAGGGACAGCACTGGCTCCTATGCACAACCTGGTGTTTCGTCTTCAAAGTCTACCCACCTTGTGCTGATCTTGCAAATTAGCAGCAATTAGCAAAGGTCCAACATCTGACACCTTGTAAAAACCATCTGGGCCCGCCGGCCCGCTGTCAGGTTTGCCACCCACGTTAAACCTGGAGCACATGCGATATCATTACAAGCTAGCAAGTTTCGAAACTTCATTAAGCATTGCATGATGATGTTTGATTCCAACAGAGTCTCTTATTGTTGGAGTGGCTTTGGCTTTAGTATCTCTTAGTTTGGGTACAAGTAGAGTTAGATGCTTCTGATGTCGTATGACGGCTGCGGTTTTATTAAGCCATTGATTCATTGCGGCTGCAAGACCCAGCTGCTGTTGAGGCTCCCAGCGACATCTCACTCTTCACGATCGGGGTTCCGCTGAAGACGAAGGGATTGCACTCCAAGATGTTTGTCGCCTGGTCGCGGTGATGGGGCCCGGTAAGGCGCCAAGCAGAACAGGCATAACATGTGTTTCAATGTACTGGATGGCCCCAATTTCTGTGTTCCATGGGAGAAAAGAACATCCAATCAGATTCCGTTGATTGTATTATTTGAATCTTGTGAAACAATTATAAATAACTAATTGTGCAAACATGGTAACATGGCCGTCTATTTACTTACCGGACTGTGCTTTCTGGGGAGAAAAGACAGAATCCAATGTGCCAACCATATCGCTGGTTCTCAACACCTTGACCCTACAGAGGCCTTGTCACAAAGGGATGAAACGTAAACACCAGAAAAACTCCAGACTGTGAATGTGTCAAAAAAAAAACGAACACCTGAATCCCCAATCAGCTACTTCTTTCCCTAATATATTTTCTTGAAACTCCACTGAAACGGTGGGACGGCTGCTCCCATCTCAGTCATCCATAGTCATCTCATCCATCTCGGGCCCCCCACACTGCAGCACGAAAAGGAAGAGATTCGCATGTTGTATGCACCTTCCGTGAGATCACTGCACCTCATCCGGACCGACTGAAGCGCCCCGTCGCCCAGTCGCTGAGGCGTCTAAGGGGCATCCCCAATATTCAAGACTGCGACTGTTTTCGAAGAGCACTTTTGATTGATCTCAACACAAAGGGAATGGGGTCATTCGTGTTTCAACACAGAAACTAGTTGTTTTTTTCCGCAGAGCAGATGGAATATGGTGGAGTGATGCTGAATGGTGCATCTTTCCCTCAGCAAACATCATGCAAAATCATGTCGTTCAAAGCAAAATCCTGCACTTTTTCGCTGAGGTTTGAGGGTCCCATGTCCCATGATCTGAGGGCCCGTCTTCTTATAGCACATGCCCAAGAATAGCTCCTGACGTGCACAGCTGCTATCAGCTGCTGCTTCAAAATCTGGGAATGGATTTGAGGATTTCTTGTGATTTCTTGCTGTGGATGGAAGAAATCCGAATCACCAGTTGATAGGTGGTTTATCCCATTATTTATAGGAATTTAACCATCCAAGGTGGTGCAGGATTTCTTCCACCCACCGTATGTTTTTTTTTATGTTTTTGTATGTTTTCTTCAATCAACGGCAACATTTTGATACCTACTGTACCTTTACTCTGAGATTTCTTGATCTGATAAAATTATATAAAGTAATTTCAATAAATAGCACGACACTAGCCCGAGTGGGACAGCCTCTGAGAATGCCGGCATGTTTGTGTGTGTCTGTATGTAAATAATATATCCCTCTGAAGAAGACCAATCGAAGCGACCGTGCCTCGTTCAAGTAGCAGGTGCCCTTGTCGTGAGGGCAAGCACCTGAAAACGATGCTAGGCATGACCCCGCATGCACAACACGACGGTTGTCTTGACAGCTGCCAAACAACCAGAATGTAATGGTTGTTTCACTTGTTTCACGATGGTAGTGAAGATTCCGGACATCATATGGATACAGTTGGATACATATTGTCAGTGTTTCATTGTTTTTTCTATGGACACAACCGTGTCCTTTTGGTCGTTTGGGGTTCCAGGTATAGGTTTGCAGGTTTTCATCTTTTTGTTTCGTTTGATTTTGTAGACGGCTTATCATGGCTTACTGCTTGCAATACCAGAGAATTCCATCACAGAGCTTCCAACAACAATCCAAGAAGTGCGAATACAAGTTGCTGCAGAGTTTGAATGTTCCACCATCCACAAATCTCTTTCAAACAGGCTTCCATCTCATCCCAAGATTTTCTCAAGATCTTTGAGGCTGTGCCAAAAATGAGCTCAGGTTTCCAGGTCCTTTATCCATGTGTCCCGGACGGCCTTTCTGCCCATTGATGGTGCCGGAGACATCGAAGCCACCGCAAATACTCATCTTCAACTGGCGGAGGTTTGGAACGGTCAAGTCAGCAAGGGGCTCCCTCTTGGGTTCCCAGGAATGGCTAAAAACTGGCTTCACTATCCAAATGGAGGCCCACTGGAAATCTCACTTGGAAACCAGCTGTCGGCCTGGATTTTTCTGGACCCCTCAATGATCCTCTGCCAAGTAAATGGTCACTCTACCTGGTGACACCGAGCACCTTGGAAAAACTGCCAAGCTTTTACAGGGAATTGGACCCAGATTTGGGGTTCCAGTCGTTCTTCCTGCAGAATGCTCTTGGTCTCCTGGTAACTCTATTTCGGCTGGCCTGTTGGTTGCTGAAACCGCAATCCTGACAGCTGTGAACCGATTGTTGAATGTCCTATTTGGGTATAGCAATCAGAAATGGGGAAAGATATGGGGAGATAACAACCAAATTTTGTAGTTACATTAATTACAAAACATGCTAAAACAACAAATGCGTGCGTGGCTCATCAAACGTGGGAGGATGGATTTTTTAAAAAATGGATGCATATTGGTGGGTCCCAAGCAGCAAGCACGTTGCAGTTTTTGATGTTTTGGCTTCCCTCCTCGATCTTGTCAGCTGCGCAGCAGGTAAATGCGGTCGTTCTAATCTTGTGCGTCCCTGGCAAACCCCAAACCAGGAGAATTTAATGCGGATTGGTCAATGATTGGTCTTTGGTGGCATGCACAACCTGATATTCAGATATGTCCTGGAGCCAAGGATTACTTTCACTCAACATTCATTCGTTCCCATTCAAAAATAAAGAAATTCCTGAGATATTTTGAGATGCTTCAAGCACCGGTGTAAAAGGATGCACAAGGTTCAAAAAAGTTCAAAACTCTTCGGCCTCCATTTCAAGCATGTACAGATATGTACAGTGTCCTAAAACTGCGACACCAACGGCAAAGTCTCGGACCCTGCGTGAGGATGGAGCACTTCTTGTAGCAAATGCCTTCAAACTTCTCCTGTTCCCCGGAAAAAATCTTTGTTTCTTTTGGGAGAGAGGATGTGCTCTCAGGAATAGATGAGTCTGACGTTTTTGTTCAACGGTACCCAGGAATATGCAATGGTTTACACATGTTGGCTTCCTCTTTTGGGCGTGGATTTCTTCCCAACATGCTGGCCCCAAGCTGCCGCCTCAAAAACCCTGCCAAATTTTCATCGACATATACCTTTGCTGCAATACGCAATTCCGCTCAATTCTATAGATACAATTTTATCATAAGCTGCATTCTCAACAAACATGTGTCTATGGATACACAAAATGGGGTACAATGATCAGATCCCATCATATAAGTCTATTTTGGGATTACTTTTAGTGGGCTTGATCTTTGTGACCCATGGATACCCTTTGTGGCCCATAGCCATCTCCTCATCATCATTGCAGACATTTCCATCCTGCGTGTTCTCCTCAGGTTTCAAGGCCTCGGCAGTGCTCATCCACTGACATGCCTATCCCGGATCTTCAGCCTCTGAGATGCCCGGCTGCGGTTGACGCAACAGATGCAGGCAAGGACCTCACAAAAGGGCGACAACTTGGAGTGATCCAGAAAATACCCTCTGGTAATTTAACATAGCTATTGAATATGGCCATTTATAGTGAGTTTTCCCATGAAAAATGGTGATTTTCCATAGTTATGTTAGTTTACCAGAGGGTAGCCATGATGAGACTAGCTGTAGTTTCCACAACTTGTCGCAACAAACTCTTGGCCATGTCAGGATACGTTCCTATCTCAAAGGCCTTGGAAAAATATGGCGCAACGACAGAAGTCCAGGGCAATGGCATTGGAGTGAAGACACCGGTCATGACCCAGTCGTCACTCTTGCTCATGAATCCGTCCATTCTGCCCTGGCACAAAGGACAAACAGTGTGTAGCTTGAGGATGCTTGAGGTGCATTTGCAATATCTGATCTTACTTTAACATACTTTAACCAGAAACATCTTTGCGATATGGAGATGGGTCAGTTAGGACCTTGTATGCAGTTGTATGCAGTATTTCGCATCAAAATAGCTCGCAGTGCCTCTGTGATTGGTCCTGCTGCTGGCAGTGTCAGCACAGCAAGCGCCACCTGATGACCCTATTTCCCCACCGGTCGAAGGGAGGCCAAAATTTGGTGTTTGGCTGTGAAAATTGAGGATTCATCCCCCAAGATATGGAAAGTTGAAGAATTTGGAAGGATGAGAAAGCATGATTTACATTGATTAATCATGGGGATTTGGAGGTTTTCCTTTTTTCATTTTTTTTCCCAACAAACCCACTGTAGAGTCTTTCAATTTCTATGCTTTGTTGGATCCCGAGGCCATGACAAGCGACAAAGCTACCAGCAGGGCGCCCACCTCAGGGACACAGCGCCATCGGAGTCATTTTTATCCACCAAATCATGGCAGGATACAAATAATACAGGATACATAGATGAATCATAGATGAATCATAGATGAATCATAGATGAATCATAGATGAATCATAGATGAATCATAGATGAATCATAGATGAATCATAGATGAATCATAGATGAATCATAGATGAATCATAGATGAATCATAGATGAATCATCGATGAATCATCGATGAATCATCGATGAATCATCGATGAATCATCGATGAATCATCGATGAATCATCGATGAATCATCGATGAATCATAGATGAATCATCGATGAATCATCGATGAATCATCGATGAATCATCGATGAATCGATGAATCGATGAATCATAGATGAATCATAGATGAATCATAGATGAATCATAGATGAATCATAGATGAATCATAGATGAATCATAGATGAATCATAGATGAATCATAGATGAATCATAGATGAATCATAGATGAATCATAGATGAATCATAGATGAATCATAGATGAACCATAGATGAATCATAGATGAATCATAGATGAATCATAGATGAATCATAGATGAATCATAGATGAATCATAGATGAATCATAGATGAATCATAGATGAATCATAGATGAATCATAGATGAATCATAGATGAATCATAGATGAACCATAGATGAACCATAGATGAACCATAGATGAACCATAGATGAACCATAGATGAACCATAGATGAACCATAGATGAACCATAGATGAACCATAGATGAACCATAGATGAACCATAGATGAATCATAGATGAATCATAGATGAATCATAGATGAATCATAGATGAATCATAGATGAATCATAGATGAACCATAGATGAACCATAGATGAATCATAGATGAATCATAGATGAACCCTAGATGAATCATAGATGAACCATAGATGAACCCTAGATGAACCATAGATGAATCATAGATGAACCATAGATGAACCATAGATGAACCATAGATGAACCATAGATGAACCATAGATGAACCATAGATGAACCCTAGATGAACCCTAGATGAACCCTAGATGAACCATAGATGAACCATAGATGAACCATAGATGAACCATAGATGAACCATAGATGAACCATAGATGAACCATAGATGAACCATAGATGAACCCTAGATGAACCCTAGATGAACCCTAGATGAACCCTAGATGAACCCTAGATGAACCCTAGATGAACCCTAGATGAACCATAGATGAACCATAGATGAACCATAGATGAACCATAGATGAACCATAGATGAACCATAGATGAACCATAGATGAACCATAGATGAACCCTAGATGAACCCTAGATGAACCCTAGATGAACCCTAGGTGAACCCTAGGTGAACCCTAGGTGAACCCTAGGTGAACCCTAGGTGAACCCTAGGTGAACCCTAGATGAACCATAGATGAACCATAGATGAGCCATAGATGAGCCATAGATGAGCCATAGATGAGCCATAGATGAGCCATAGATGAGCCATAGATGAGCCATAGATGAGCCATAGATGAACCATAGATGAACCATAGATGAACCATAGATGAACCATAGATGAACCATAGATGAACCATAGATGAACCATAGATGAACCATAGATGAACCATAGATGAATCATAGATGAATCATAGATGAATCATAGATGAATCATAGATGAATCATAGATGAATCATAGATGAATCATAGATGAATCATAGATGAATCATAGATGAATCATAGATGAATCATAGATGAATCATAGATGAATCATAGATGAATCATAGATGAACCATAGATGAATCATAGATGAATCATAGATGAATCATAGATGAATCATAGATGAATCATAGATGAATCATAGATGAATCATAGATGAATCATAGATGAATCATAGATGAATCATAGATGAATCATAGATGAATCATAGATGAATCATAGATGAATCATAGATATGAATCATAGATATGAATCATAGATATGAATCATAGATATGAATCATAGATATGAATCATAGATATGAATCATAGATATGAATCATAGATATGAATCTCTATGCGATTTGCGATGATTGCTACGTTTTAGTCGAAAGCTTCGAAGGTCCGATGTGCTTAGCTGGTGACCCTGCATCCCACAGGCCAACGTCGCGGCTGCTCCTTGGGACTATGTCGGAACTGGGGTGAAGCATTTAGCCGGACCAAGTCATGGCGTCATGGCCATGAAATGGAAAAAAATGATGGAAAATGATGATAACCCATGGATTTTCATGGATTTTTCATTAAAAAAATTGGGTATCTTATTTTCAGACAAACCTATAGGCTCTGTGGAAACTTCTAGAAATAAGAAACCACTCCAGCGCAAGAGTTCGGCCCCTTCCAATCCTTCTTTACAGTCAACTCAGACATGCTTACCTTGCTTCAATTCCTCTCTCGACCCCCAAGGCTGTGCGAATGGTATTTCGTAAACCGGGCAAAACACATAGTCTGTTTGACTAAATGTATATAAATGTTGTGATTTGGAGGTATGATTAGCACTAGAAAAATACCATCAAGAATTGGGCTTGGCATTGAGTAAATCACATCCATTGCAAAACATGGTAGCTGAGCGCAGCACATCTGTAAGGTCGCTGCCGCTGTCCAGCTCTAAGTCCTCTGTCCAGCACTCTTGAAATGGGGGATTTTCCCTCACATGTTTTGTTTTTACTCGGGAAACAATTATGCAATTATGATTAATCAATCGATTTTGGGAATGCAGCTACCCATAGCTACCCTATTTTTTAACGGTGTGACACACCCATTTTCATGGTCAACGCCAGTCAATGGATTTGGTTTTTGCATGTTTTTGCCCCGACATTGATTGGGGTTTCCTGCCCATTTTCCCTTTCACCAATTCTGGGACCAACCAACATATGGGAACTTAAATGATCATCTTTATACAAGGGACAATGCGATACAACATGAGATAATTAGATGTGTACGTCACTACTGGACAGACCCACATGGAAAATAGGAAAACAACCGGGTTCGGAGAGGTTTGGACGATGATGTTTCAAGTGGAAGTAGCCATTCAAGTGGCTTCCACTGAGTATTGGCAGCAGCTGCACTCCTCATATCGATAGGGCACCGCCATGCTGCAATCAAAAGCCTGGGGCACATCACCCAAGGTTGAAGACAAAGGGTTGAGATCCATTGGCATGTCACATACATACACATATATACATATCGATATGATTACACATAATATAGTATATATATACATAATAATAAGACCTAAATTAATATATAGATAATAAGACTTAAATAAATATATAGAGTTCACTAAGAGCATATAGTTCCACGTTTCCTCCGGCATGTTCTATCTTATGGATATATGTGCATCAAGTTAGATTGCCAAAGTGCAGACTGAATGACCTTGCCGGACGGTGGCCCCTAAGATCCTGACTTGTGCCCGACTTAATCCGCGATTTTTCCACCACAAAGCTTGATCCAAAAGCAAACGGGGCAAATAGACATGGCAAGGTTTCTATAAGCAGCATAGTTTCCATCCAAAAGCCTATTTGAGTTGCGGTCAATGTCTGGAAATCTCTTTTGTTGCGTTGTGGATTGTAGCAATAACCCGGACCCAACATGTAACTGGACTTGTTTTGCAATCGTAAGCTTGAAGTGCATTTGATTCCCAAAATGCTGGCTGGCAATTAAACATCCCGCTGCTTTGTGAAATATTGTATCATGTGGGTATGGGTCAATACCTATAGATATACATTTTTAGTGGGATGAACATCCATTTACCAGCTATTTTGGGGTTCACTAGGTACCAGGGTTTTGACCCATCCCCATGTGTTGCTTTATGGAAAGGGAACAACAACACGAACTCAACCACAGTCTGCGTGGGAATGGTTCCTCCCAGCCCATCCGCCTCCCGAGGCTGTCTCACCACTGCCTGGTTTCCATAACTGGGGAAACCCCTGTTACTGGATGGTTTATAAGGGAAATTCCTATTGAAACGGGTGATTTGGGGGTACATCCCCCATTTATGATACAGTCATATCCCCAGAATTCTTGGAGATATTGTTCTATACTATACTGTGTATAATATATTGTTTGAAACCAGCAGATCAGGTCAGTCAGTGGCGCCTGCGCCAAGTAGGGCGCCAAGGCGCGAACTGAAAGTTGGAGCTCCTCCGGCACCTGAACCCATGAGTGGCACTGGTCCAGAGACAATCGTTGCAATAGCAGATTCACTACAAACGCAACACCCTAAGGGCATGGTTGTGACTTAAAACCCAACAGGCTTTGGGGGTGGTCTAGTTGAAACTTGAAACCATATTTTTTTGTCTGCATATTTTTATCATATACTGTGTATACTCCACTGCTTGAATGACAACAAATAACAACAGCAGGATTTGGAAAAGTTCTAGACAGCAGGATGATTTAGTCTACCCAAGGATTTTTTCTGAAGAAAAGCGAAACTTGGGTACCCGTTGGCGCCTCAGATCCAGCTGCACAAAAACAATAGACCCGCGCAGCAGCATCCACCATGGACTCCTCACATTCCGCACAGAACAGTGTTCCGGTACATGATCACTGTGTCCAGAAGATCCACCCTGGATCACTTAAATCATTTGGGTATGGATGGGGGGTCAAACCCTGCTACTCTGGCTTTTACAGCAGGAAAATAGCTCTGACAAATCCATCTTTATCTCCAAAAATATATGTTAAAGAAGGAATATCTTTCCCGGGTTTGTGAGCCCTGTGGGCCGTCCTGCACGTCGGTGTCCATCAGTCCACAGGCCAACAGCTTGTGCAAGGCGCCTGTGTCTTCCTGACATCTCCCAGCTGCAGCGATGAAGATGATCACCAGATTTAATGCCTGGTTGATTATCACTTGCCTCATCTAAAAAAGCCTTTGTGAGTAAGCACATCGTACAGGTAGTACCTACCTAGATATCCAAGAAAACTCACCAACCCAGTTGAGCCACACAAAATCCGTTGCGTCCACCAACCCATTGTCTCTTTTGAACGTGGCTGCAATTCTGCCGCAAGTTCAGTTGGCAGCTGAAATCTTTGCTCACGCTGCCTCTTTGGTCTATGAGTCTGACCGAATGGGCACAGTGGAGCTTCTTTTGAGGCTTCATGTAGGCCCCAACATCAAAGCATATCAAAGCAGCTAAATGCCCAAATGTCCAGGAGATATCCTACGCACCCCTCTCTGTCACCGCATTGGCCGCTCGCGCTGCCCCCACACACAGGGCGGTGCGCTTCTTCATGTTTAGCCACCTGGGTGTCAAGTGATGCTGGAAAAGAACTAAAAACACCTGCTTCAGGACATGGGATGATATAGGGTGGCAGGGTTTTTGAACTGTACATCAGCGTAGCCATTTTACACATAGTGTCAATATTTGTCAATTTTTCACATTAGATTTTTCATGGTAAACTTCTGCTCACACACCCTCCAGGATTTTTGTAAAGCAAAGCCTACTGGCAATGCCCCTTCACCCGGACAACAGTACATGCAAACCTCTTGGCATGATCAATGCGGGAAGCTCGCATTAAAATCTGAAGCTGGCAACTGTTGCTTCATTGCTAAGGCCAGGACCTTTGGTACATCTGCCAGGTGACATAGGTGGTGTACCAAGCCACCCTGCCGTGCCATTACTGTCTCAACCTTCAAAGTTCATGCATGAAACCTTAAGAACTCAGAGTCCAAACTTATTGTTTCTTCTCGTCACCCAGGTGCGTTTCAAAATTGCCATGTCCACATTTCTGTGGTTTCTGAGTCAGTCGTCAACCCCCAAAGCCGACAGTTCCGGCTGCCGCCGCACCCGGTGAAAACGGTGGCAATACCCACCACGATGAGTTCGGCTTCCTCCGCCTCTCCAGCCTCACGGTGCACGGGTGAAATGTAGCCGATCCAAGGATAAAACTCATGGGTAATCCATGGTTTGACCATTCAAAAACAAAAGAGGACATTAAGGGGACAAAACCGTGAAGTGTTTCACCTGAGGGGAAGAAAACATTTTAGGATATGAAATTGACCCGATGGAGATATGAAGCAAACAAACATGTGCGAACGACGAAATATGAACATTTTTGCGGACCTCGAAACTGTCGATCCCAGGCAAAACTGGAGAGTTCCAAATGATCCAAAACCTGAGGACCCCAATTTTTTCCCAAAATATGTTCAAAATTGAGGGAAATTGAGGAAACTCAAAGACTCAGCTACCTAAAGATGTGAAATGTGGGCATTGAAGGCCCACTAAATCACAGGTGTTGGTCACTATCAGTCTGAAACTCATTTTTGACCAACACCCACGCGGTGAAAACTGTTTCGGACCCATCCAGACATTAGATCCCATGCGGAACCTCCTCTTCTGCTTCTTCAGCTGCTTCTCGCGCTTCTTCAACCTTTGGGGCAAGGTCTGGGGATAAAGGCAGCCTCTGACCCAGAATGGAAGTAGTTCCATCCAGTTGCAATCCCAATTCAGTCAAGTAAACTGATTTAAAACTTGATTTATACGCATTTAATCATATTTAATTTATACTATAATCAAATGAGTTCTGCCACAAAGTTGCGGTTGGCTTATGTTGGCTTGCTGGTCCGGTATTCATTGTCCCTTCGACAGCGCCTGCCTCTTCTTGGATGATGGCTGCCTTATCTTCAGCCACGTCAGCTTCTGAGAAGCTTCCCAGACGTCTCAAACCTGGAACATCAGGAACTCGGAGATTCTGTTTGGATGAAAATTGCTGAAAAGCCGGAAAAAGTTGGCATTATTCAGATTCCGAATTCTTCCCTCCACAACTCTGGTCCCCGGACTTGGCTTGCAGAGAACGTAATTAAGGAAACCGACATGATGGTAAAACAGCATGGTTTCCTGCGAAAAGCTTGGCCTCGCGGCCTTGCGCCTCCACGTGGCACATCCGGCAGAAAGCAGGTGATGAATTTCCGGCGATGGCCTGCCAGACCTGACAGGTACGTTGGTAAATTCCCTAACTTGTGACAGCTGTGCAAAAATTGTGCATGATTGTGGCTCGTGTTTCACAGGAAACATCCTGTTTCAATTGTATCACCTGGGTTATTTCCTAGTAGAATACAACGGCACAAGCGCTTTTGACACCATCTCATGTTAGTTGGCTGAGGTTGGCTGCAAGAGATTCTCGCGAGTGACTACAACAGACCCATACAGACCCTACTGTTACCATCTGTTTACCTCTAGATCATTACCACCTCCAATCATATTTTCGATATTATTTCCATATATTTCCATATGACATTCCATCTGATTTTCATTTAAAGCTAACAGCATGCTAACAGCTAACACATCTAACACGTGTTCTCCATGCATGTCTCCTCAACGATGTCCTGGCTGCGGGGCGGCGGTGCCCGAGTGCCCGGCCTTCGGGGAGATCCAGGAAATGACCACTCGCCTTCGGGAGCCATTGAACCCGATATGAAAAAGCAGTGGATGTCCATATGTTTCCTTTACCATCTGGCTATTTAACATAGCCATGGAAAATCACCATTTTTAATAGGTAAACCATCTATAAATGGGCCATTTTCCATGGCTATGTTAAATAACCAGAGGGTAGAAATCAAGGATAAATCAAGCGATAATCAAGGCAAGTCTGATGATAGTAGATGTGTGTTCCCTTTTTTGATCAATATTGTATCAATTATTCTCTCCCACTCATTTTCTTTTTCCCGGCTGGTGGTTCCAAGCCCAAAACATGGCCAACATGTTGGCCAGTTGGCTTGGCACCTTGATCTGTCTGGCACCAAAGGCCTCTTGAAGGGCACTGGCCTTCCGGGGGGCGAAAGAGCCGAGAGTGATGATGTTTTGGGGCCCTGTGATGAAAACGATAGAAAATGATGTTAACATGATGGAACTTAATTTTAAAATGATGTTAAAATGACAGAAACTACTGTAATGCAAATGATGGATATGGGTTTCCCTGTATATGTTTCCAGCTATGTTTGACACATAGAAACAGGAAAATCGTCACTCTCCACAACAGGAATTTGAATTCTTCCACCTTCAGCTGAACACTTGTCCCGCCTGAAGCGCATCAAGTGTCCGCGGCATGATGTCAAGGCTACGACATGGCGAACGACTCGGACGGCAGGTGCTGATGCTTCCGCAAGGAAAAGTGTAGTGCTACTATTTCAAGATATTTCAAGATCCCATGTTGCCAAAGTTTTCATCGGCTTTCCGTAAGAAATGCATGGCTCGGGCTAGGCCTACACCTAAGTTGGTCACCAGTTTGGCCCAAGCTGTACGCCATGGCGAAACATGGCGAAACTATGTGAAACTGATATTCTATCTCTGAGGCTATTGATCAAACAGGAAGCGGTTTGTAATGTGGAGGTGCCTATGAACATGAGGCTTGCTCTAATTAACTGCAACTCATGCATCTGTCCCATAGAAGATACAGAAGACCAATTGTGTAGCCTTCCCTTGAAGCCATAATTGGAAGTGATTCAAAAAGCACTTCCTTGCATTCGACGCTGCCACGAATTTCATTGGTTCATAGACTCATGACTGCTTGCAACTGATTACATGCAAATCTCGTAGCATAACAACTAAAATATCGCACAATTGCAATCTCTCAAAAAGGCTACTGTATGTAATTCCCACGACGACATGCTCCAACCTGGTATACTTAAACTCAACGCCCATCTATGTCCTGCAAGGCGGCAAGTTGAGCATAGACCCACATCATGGCAGTTGCTCGCCTTCGTTCGGAAACGGGAATGGGATGAGTACCATGGTGAATATCTCATCTGCTTAGCACTGCCCAAAAAAGGGTCAAGCTTCAGGAAATAAGCAACCAATTCGTGATAAGTTTTGGAGTCATTGTTTCCCCTTGATATCAACTGGTTTAGTTTAGGCTTGGAAAAATCATAATCAGACGGGTCCTGCCCCAGGTGGCTCATCTTCTGTTCTGCCAGGTGGCTCATCTCTGCTTTCTGCTTCGTCTCGAAGCACTTCAAGAAATTCTAAAGCCTCGGTAGCGGGGATTCCAATGGGTCACAGTTAAAGACTTAAGGGACCAGCAGTTGCTTTTGTTTGCTGGAATTACTGGGAAAATCGGAAGATTCTCAATTTTGGGTACCCAATTTTGACTAGGATAAAACAACTGGGCGTGTGTCTTGAATTTGGGAGAAAAAAACTGAATTAATTGTATAAGTAAACACAACCAGAAAAAAAAGGAGGTTTGGATAATGTTCGGATGATATTCGCCATGGGGTTCACCCACAAAAGAGGAGTGCAAGTTTCCATGGAGTCAACCCCCCAAGCAATTTCGGGACATCCGTTGAAATTATTGAATGGATCGTGACGTGAAACGTCAACTTGGTGCACATGTCTGGCTCAAGTTGAAATAAAATTGACCCCGTTTCCCTCCGTTTGAGGTTCCCTGATGACTGTTTACCCAAGCGATTCGAGAGCCTTCAGCCTGTCATATCGGGTATGGGTCAGTAGCTGCGTAGCTCAAAACTTGGATGGTTCCTTCTCAACATCACCAAAGTCCGCGGTTTGCAGGAATGATTTTGACTTTTGGTTTGGTCCAAGAACGCCAATGATTTTGATGTGGAAATTTGGGGCGCCATGTTTGGACATACCGATGTGACATAACCGTCTTTTGACCCATACCATCCTCCTTTCCTGTTTTCTACAGCGATGTTCCTCAAACCTGGGAGTTTGGCAGTCAGCATCTCGCTTCGAGCTCCAGTGCACCTGGCAAGCAGCAACAAATGATTGAGGACCTGCCAAAGACTTACCCTTAAATGGTTGATTCGCAAAGGGAACTTCCAGGTTTCGGGCATTTGATACCGTAGGGGTTTGCACACACCCACATCACCAAACCAGGAAGCAGAGTCTTGAGAACCAATCAGTCCCAAAAAGGAAAGGGCATTTGGACACTTGGACCAAGATGACCATTAAATCACTTATGACCCCTGAGCAGACCACGGCACTGGCGCACGTTTTTTTGGGTAATCCTTTTGGTATATGATGGTACATAACATAAGGTGTTTAACCTCTCACCATATTTTGCCCCTTGTTTGATGGCAATAAAATGGCCCATAATTTCCTAAGACAAACCCCCCAAACCCATCTTGTTGGTCAAACACCAGTTTAACCCATGTTATCCCCTTCTATCTCCATCATGGTTGCTTGACATCCGCTTGAACAGATGGACAAACCCAATTACTTCATATCCCAACGGCAAAAACCCATTGCAACATCATCAACATCCCCATTTTGGGCTGCAAGGGCAAACCCATCTTGATCCGTGTCCATATCCCCATATTTTCGACCCCCAAACCGAAATGGTTTCAGAATTTGTTCCCCGCCTGCCAGGTTGGGGTCTCTAGCTTCTAACACGACGCTCGGCCCTGCAAAATTGCCATAGGCTTCGGGTCGGGCAGAGGTTGCGAGCTCGCCATAGGGTTCTGGTCTTAGGGACGGGCCCAGAGAGCCATCGGGCGCAGACCCAAAGGACTGGCGAGCTCGCAAGCTCTCTGGGTCCTGCTGAGAGCTCGCAAACTCTCTTAGGCCTTAGGCCCTGCCGAACCCTATGGCTTGCAAGCTCTCCCCTATGGCTCGCAAGCTCTCTGCCTATGGGGAGCTCGCAAGCTCTCCTGCCGGATCCGAACGCTGTAACGGATTGTAACGTACCCATGGCGAGCTTGCAGCCCTGCCTGACCCGAACCCTATGGCGAGCTCGCAAGCTCTCTGGGCCCTGCCCCAAACCCGAACCCTATGTCAAGATATATATGCCATGGTGAGACCCTGAGAGATGCCAAGGCACATCCGAGCCAATTGGCTCGTGAGCTCGGGCCAGGCACGGCCACTTTGGAACTGGCCTCGTTCTCGCTGGGTGCATTGTGGGATACCGGGGAGACCCAATCGATCCATAAGAGCCAATATTGGATTGATAAAAATCATCCAATAATCAATCCAATATCAATTCATCCAATTTTGGATTGTAGATTATTGTAGATAATTTCGAGCCACTGCCAACTTGGGATTTGCAGTCAATTGAAAAGGAAAGGATCAGCACAAGTAGCGTAGTTTCTGCTCAAAAATGTTCAACCTGATAGTCGTTTGCTATTTTAGTTGATCACTCTATATATCGATCCCTATCTAATGCATTGATGACCATTTTCCAATATGGGCAAGTCACACAAGTTTGGACCATATGAAGGAACTGTCAACTCGGAATGTTGGGAAGTTGTGCCAGGAACTAGGTACGGCCGACAGCCAACAGCACGTCTTGCACCCAACAGCACGGGATATTATCCTTTCCGTCTTTGACTTTTATCATTTTTATCTACAAGCTACAATACCTGCTCAAAAGTGACCTACACAAGCCCTGAAAACAGAATATGATCAATATGACTCTATAGGATTCTATAAGTATCTCCAAAATCCAGCGACCCAGTTCAACCTTGGCGACCCAGCTCAAGGCTGCAGTGGCGACAGCATCTGCCGTAGATCGGCGCACCTGGTCACTGGATGTCAATGGGCCTGGTTGATGTTGATTTGAGCTGAACTTAGTTTACATAGTTCAACATGTCACAGACTTCACAATTAGTTTTTCCAGTCCAAATACATGAAAAAACATTCCTGGAAACGAAACTACTCCGATTCCAGTATTCGGACCGCAGGGCAGGGACTATCTTCTTAGAGGGTCAAATGTCCCCTTCAATTCCATGCCCTGCAAACAACACAAGCTTCCATGAAATTGGGGGGTCCCACGGCACTAGTCATCACCAAACTCCACAAATGCTGAAGGATATCATGTCATACTTTATTCACCTGGATTTTGACATTAGACTCTATATATATATACATATATATATATACATATGTATACATATATATATATACATATATATATATACATATATATATATATACATATATATATATATACATATATATATATATACATGTATATATATATATATTATAGAGGTAGTTGCAAGCGAACATGAACAAGGAAGTTCCAGGATCCAGGCCATGGGCACAGCTGCAGCTGCAAGAGCCTGCAATAATGCCAAGAACTGCAGCAGCCTGGAAGGGGATTATCATATTTTGCCTTGCAATGGTAACAATGATTTGCAATGCTGTTTTAAGTTAAGTTATATATATATATATTATTTTATAGTTATTTAATAGTTATTTAATGTTATTTATACATGTCTTTTTTTACAAGGGGCTAACTGGGATCGCAATGGTGCTACTAACTGGTTTTTTTTGATTTCATGGAGTCGAGATTTGCACCAGTCCAGGGCGGCGTCCTATGGGTCAAGATTGGATCCCACATTGATATACTGTACCATCTGGTTATTTGTGCCATATAGGTAAACCATCATAAATGGGCCATCTATACCATGGCTATGTTAAATAACCAAATGGTATATATATATACATATAATTGCCAGCACGCCTCCAATAAGGCGGGCCCGATCTCTTCCCGGAGCCACTGAGCTCCTAAGGTCATAGGCTGATCATTCCATTATCCAATGGATTGGTTTAAGGGAAAATCTACAGGAAACCATGGTTTTTACCATCAAATATAGGGGTTTCCTGTAAATTTTCCCATCATCCAATTCTATGAATTATCCAATGGATTGGTTCAAAGAATCTATAGGAAACCTGGGCTAGCATTGAAGTTGAAGCGAGCTTCATGATACGTGTGCACACTCTAGTCTCCAATGCTCGCAGCATTATTGGTGCATGCAACTGAATCAGATTTGAAGACTAATTATCAACTCAAACTTGAAACAAATCTAGAGCCCAGTCCTCTTTCCACGCTTGCACCTGGCATGGGAAATCTTGTTAGGTTTAGTTTGATATCTTAAATATCACAATAATCACCACCCCAAAGATTGGGTCAGTCCACGTTCCCATACCATCCGACAGAGCAAAACATATATTGCAGAGGGAACTTAGTACAAACATGTACAGACATTTATAGACTTCGTAGTATTGGAGGCCTGATGCCTCCCTACTCTACCGCAATGGAAATTCCCAAGGCTTCCCTGCCGTCCTGGTGGTGGAACCAGCTTGGAGCTCTTTCGGAAGACCTCCAATGGCTGGTAAGACAGTTGAACTCAGCCTATGCGGCCTCACTCGCTGGGATCTCAGCTTGCAAGTCCTCCATCCATATCCAAAAGCATGATGCCTCGACGAACATTTTGAACAATTTCATGCCAGCTGGCGGGTGTGCCTCTCCCAAAAGAACGGCTGCGTAACTTCGGACCTGCAATCAAGGTCAAGGAAGGGATATGTGTATATAATCATCTTGAAATACTGCATCGGAAGCACTACGTAAGAACACGATGGTACACCTGCAATCGTCTGTATCAGATGGATCCGGCTGGGTATGGCTGAAAAGCAAAGAAAAAGAAATGGATGGTGCTCATTATTCAACAAAAATATGAACCCCAAACAATGTCTAATCCATCTTCAGTCTTTACAATGATAATTAGACAAAGTTGGGTAACCCAATGGTTTCAATCAACAATCAACAAGTATAATTAATCCAGTGTTAATCCATGGATAATCCATTGATTAACATCCACGAAAAAAAATATTATCAATCCATTCTTAGATGATGTTAGATTCTAAGCCATTTCATACTCCACTGATTGACATCCATGCTTTCCATTGTGGATTTATCATGATTAATCCATTTAAGACAATCCATGGATTAACATCAATGAAACAAATACCAATTAAGAATTACTAATAATCAGTTAATCCATTTTTAGATGATGTTAGATGAATCCATTTCAGACAATCCATGGGTATGGGTCAAAATTAGGTACCCCAATAATTGGATGGTTAATACTAAACTAGACATTCACATCTGCGGTCCCCTAGGTCTTCCATTTTGACCCACATCCCCATTGATTCACCAACAAATGGATGGTGAATCGCCTCCATTTCTCTCTCGTCTCCGGTGATCCGTAAGGCCAAGGCCAGAGCCAGGCCGCCTGCGGATCTCCGTGCGAGGTGAAGTTGACATGGGAAGAGAATGGAAAACGTTGAGGTGATCATAGAATATGAATATGTATATGAGGGATAACCAGATAACATCAGATAACCAGATTCAGATGAGATGATCATAAGATACGGAAAATTCCAGATCATTCCAACTTCAATGGTCCATTTGCAGATGAGAATGGTAGCTGGAGGGAGCAAAATCTATGGATGGGACCAGATTGGAATTTGAAACTCTGCAAAATCCTTGAGGGAAAGATGGATCTCTGCCAACAGGCGCACCAAAAGAGCAAACAGAGCTGGATCTCTCCTACTGTTTCACGAACTGCTTCACATTTGACAGACTGAAACATGTCCGAAATGCCAAGTTAGGCTCATCCTGCTCAATATATATATATATATCAATATCTCAATATATGTATATATATATATATTGATTGTATATATATATTGTATGTATATATATTATATTATATTATATTATATTATATTGTATTATATTATATTATATTATATTATATTAATTTATATTAATTTATATTAATTTATATTATATTATATTATATTATATTAATTTATATTATATTATATTATATTGTATATTGTATATTAATTTATATTATATTATATTATATTACATTATATTATATTATATTATATTATATTATATATATCATAATATATATATATCAATATGAAGTACTAATTTCTATACCAGCTTCAAAACTTCAAACCCCAGCAACTCTCAAAGGTGCCTGGATCGTCCCGTTGAAGTCGCTCCAGTGCCTGCGTGCAGGCGTCACTGGATATCTTGCTGAGATGTTTAATGATGTTTAATGATGTTTAATGATGTTTAATGATGTTTAATGATGTTTAATGATGTTTATATTAATAGTTATATTAATTAATGGTTATCTTAATGGATGTATTAATGGTTGTATTAATATTTATCTAATCTAATCCCCCAAAATGAATCACAATGGGACAATATGGGACATTCATCCCTTGATCCCTGCCAAGATCCACTGAAAATGCAAACAACATCAAAGAACATGAAAGCACCTTGTTAACTAGGAATATTAACCATTAATATAACCATTAATATAGCCATTGATATAACCATTAATCCATTAATATAACCATGGAAACTAGGAATTGTCATCCCTTCTGCTGAATCTTGGCATCCCAAGGACGCAGGCACGGCAGCCCTTTCACCAGCTCAGAGAGCCAAAGCGCGTCCCTGGAGCTATGCCAGCTATGCAACTTTCCAGCGCCTGAAGGAATAGAGAATCCACAGGAAACCATACAGTGTTTGCCATGAAAATAAGCAACCAATGTCGAGGTTTCCCAGGTTTCCTGTAGATTTTCGAATCTTCCAATTTGCCGATGCAGGGAAGAACACGTTCACTTCTTGCATCATCAATTTCAAGTTACGAAGAAAATTTGATGTTTATCGGAAAGAACATGTCTCTAGCTCAGTTGCACTGTGCATCTTCATAGTACTATGAGATCCTCCCTGGATACATTCAACATCACGTCTGCGCTAGATAATGTTGCATCACTGGGATCACCAACCTTTGCGAGTGTTCCGGGTACAACTTGCACAAATCCAACTAGTTGGGTAAACAGGGCTAACTATCTACCCATTTGGGATATATATATATATAATTATATAATATATATACTGTATATCCCCAGTCAGTGTTGGCATGTTGGCCATATTTACCGGGCTCTATCGATTAGATTCCTGTTCTCCCCATGTCAGGTAAACGTCCACAGCCCACGATTCCACCTGTCACGGAAGTCCTTTCTCCAAGGCTGCAATGGCTGCTGCAACCTTCGGGCCGCCATCGAGAGACTTGTTGGGTACGATGTACAGTTACTCAAAACGGGATGGGATGATACTACCATAGTATCAGAAGGACATAGCCCTGCGACATCTTTGGAATCTCAACCTTGAAGATGGCTATTTCCACAAGGAGCCGATTTTTTTGGGGGTTCAATGCCACATACAGCAACAAACTGATTGCAGCTTTGTGGAGATGATCCTTTCATGGTAAATCCACCCATCCTGGACCTGGACAGATTTCACATTGTGTGATATGTTCTACAAGGTGGTGCCTCATAGTTGGCTAACGTGGTAAAGAGTTCACTAGGTTAACTATGGTTTATGGATTTATGGATTAAAATTTATGGTAGATATATCAGATCTATAGCTAATGTCATTTTATGTGGTTTATAACCCAACAAACATAACTGGGGGGCACCGCCAAGCGGGAAGACCGCCTGCTTGCTGCCAGCATCTTCTGAAGTCTTCAGCGACACGGCAGACCAGTCTAACTTGCCTCGAAAAACGTCAAGTTAGGGTGCGGCTTCATTTACAAACAGCGAGGTAAAAAAATCATGAAACGTTTGAAATGGGCTTGAAAGTGACGGACCAGTTTAGCCAGATCAGTAGACAGCATTTCTTCACCATTTCCTCACGACTGATGTATAGCCACCATAAAAAAGGCCAGGCTGAAATTGTCTATTCAAAACACGGCCGCAAACAACGAATACACGGTATATGTGTATAATCATGTATATACTGTAATGAAATGTTAGGCGTATGCATAGCTTATGGTATAGTATAGTATAGTAGAGTATAATACAATGTAGTGTAATGTATTGGAATGCAATGACATATAGTACATAGTATGATATAATCTTACAATATATATATATTGGATTAGATTGGGTTGATTAGATGAATCAAGATCATATAAAACAAACTTAATGTAATATGATATACTACAATACAATGCAGTGCAGTACAATAAAATACAATATTCGTATTCATGTAATATGATAGAATGGAATATAATAAACTAGTATGCTGTGATACAGCAACGTTGTATAGTATAAGAATAGAGCCGAACAAAACAGAACAGAATAGACTAGAATATATGATTATATCACATAACAGAGTATAGTTAATATCATAATACATTGTGATAATACGGCCAGGCGCTGTTTGCTGCCCGGAAGGTTCAAATGGCGTTTAAACATGTTTAAACATTATCCTTCAACATGCTCAAACACCTGCACAGGGCCATTGTTTTTAGATTTCCCAGACGACGAACCCTAAACCCTAAAACCCTAAACGATCCTAAACCCTAAAACCCCAAACCCTAAAACCCTAGACCGTAAAACCTAGGCTCTGAAAACTTTGAATCCTAAACTGGAAAACACTGCATATACGCAGTATTTTCTGCAATGTCTCCTATCATATATTCGACAGCACGACATTCTCAATGTTAATGTCTGGGCAACACATGGTGTCTGTGGGTAATAAAATAAATAAGATATGATATGAATATACAAACAAATGTAGATACAGTTTAACCAAATACACTATACTACAACATGCTACACTATACGTTACTATATTATACTATACTATACTATAATATGATATAATATGATATAACTTGATGTAGTGTGATATAATATGATACAACACAACGCCGCTCAGCACACTTACTGTAATATGATTATGATAGTACAACATAATATAACAATATAACATGCCATGATAAAACATGTTATAATATAGTACAATAGAGGACAACATTGTATAGTAGAATATAGCAAACTACAATATAATGCGACATCTATACTACAAGATTAACATGGTAGAATATAACAAAACATAATTGAATATGGCATTAGTGTGATATAACTTAATATAAGATAAGACAATATGATACGATATACACATATGACCTTATATATGTGTATATACAAAAAAAAACATCTCTAGTGTGTATATATAATCATCCTGGAGTAGACATCGCCATTTTGGTATACTTTTAATTTTTAAGTGATGTTTTTTGAAAATTCCATGTTCTATGTATTCCAGGATGACTATATGCATAACATAGAGACATCCATCCCCGACCATCACGAACCTCTGCCAGCGTTCTGGGAGGCAACGAATCGGTCACGCAACAGGGAGGCCAGGGGCATGGGACATCGAGCCTGCTGCCACCGGTACACCCAAAGAAGATGTTCCAAGATCCTTCCCAAGATCTGGAGTGTAAACCCCAAAACATACTTGGTGCTTGGATGTGTTTTCACTTCCGAATAATATATACATATATATATATTTATATATATTTATATTTATATTTATTTGTATATATATATATATACATTTGTAGATATAGGTAAATAGACAGATGGACAAACAAACAAAAGACAGATAGACACAGTTAGACTGTTGGGTTTAACAGTGACAAGTCCGGACTCACCAGACTCCGAATCCTCGCCTGTGCAGCCGCGCTGTGCACCAGGGCAACGTCCTGGTGGCGGCTTCAATGGATGTCCATATTCATCATACCAGGTGGTGATAGATAGTAATATCAGATAGTAACATTATAATAAATGATATTAAGATATAAGAATCATATAAGACTATAAGACATAATTTGCTTATTTGTTACATATATATATATGCTACCCCCCCGTACCTACCTTTTAGCCTCTGTTGAGCAGATGATTGCATTGTTTTGGATTGATGATGTGGAGATTTACAGAAGATGGAAGCGTACATGCATGGAGGATGGCATGGCCAGGAAGGTGAGCATTTTTTTCCTTGATAATTATTCAAGTGAAAGCTGATAGAAGATGAACATGGAGTTTGGGGCTGACGAGGAAGATTTGCAAAAGTGTGAAGTGAACCATGTGCTGCACTGATTTTCTCCTTGCTGACGATCTGCAGACGATTCGATCTATCTGGACATGAACCATTGGACCAAGGTGCCCGAATGGATCCAGAGATCCTTACCCCTTAGCCAGTACTCGTACTGGGCTGAGCGCAATTTCATGCGCAAATGCATGCTGCTGACGCGACAAGACTGGTTGATTCCCAGTCTGTCTTTAAGAAACTTCCAACAGCGGTCAATGATCTGTGTGCCCGACTTGACCTGGAGAACCTTTTTGGTACCAGGCAGTCGATGGCGCTTGAGTTCCACATACTTGGGCGCAATCCACTTAAACTTGCCAGCTATTTTGACACGTTGCTTCTTGTGAACAACCCTGTCGTGAAGCACGCCAGGCACACGAGTGCAATAACTCTTCGCCGAAGCAGTGTGCAATACCACACGGCGGTCCCCCAGCCACTTTTTCGCAAGGGGCTGCCATTCGACTTTCCGAATTGCACCGGGACCAGGTGCTCGAAGCTGGGCTAAGACTGGATGCAGGCGATGGAGTACCAATGTGTTTGGTTTTCCTCTCTGGACTAACCCGCACCACTGTTCCCATTGCACTTGCTTGTTGATCACCTTCTTGTCAAAAGTGGCCTCGTCAGCTTCTACATCAGCCCATGCCTGGTCTGCACCAAAGCGGATCAATTTTTCTTGCTGCAATACCCAAGATTGGCGTAGTTGACAAAGTCGCTTCTCCATGTCTTCAATGACTTTGTGGTTCACATGTAGAAGCCGGTGAACAGCAGCATGGGGAACGCGATTCAAAAGGAGCAGGAGTAGAGCTGCCTGGGTTGCCAAAGGGGTGGCTCCGCCCTGGCTTTCAACAAAAAGAGGATGCCCATGATGTATGTTGATGTAGGTTTGGCACTTCTTGGCATTGCATCTGTGTTTCGGCAATTCACCGCCACGCTTCTCTGGCACTGCCTTGCTCAGGGTGCCCCGGTGACAACGAGGACATTGCTTTCCTTCCCACGAGGGTAAAAGACCATCAGCTCGAAGCATGGATATCAAGGAGGATGGATTGCCTTTCAAGATGTCAGCCACAGACCTTTTCCATTTGTCACGGTCCCCTCGAATGGTAGGAGCAGCCTTAGGATCACGTACATAAGGTGTTCGATGCCAAGCCCGGTTCTTCTTGGAAGCTGGTCTTTTCTCAATGGACCGCCTGAGCCCACGCTTGGGCACTCGAGGGTTGAATTTGGCCACCATGATGGAAAGCAGGCAGGTTACGTGCTCACTGGAAGCTGGATTCAATGAACCTCAAAGCTACAGACATGTAAGGAGGAACAAAAATACATTGGTTTCACCATGCACGTGCCCATGTTAACTCAATGAACTTCACAGCTACAGACATGTAAAAAGAAACAAAAGCAGATTGGTTCAGCAGCCATGGCAAATGTGATATAGACTTGAAGGAAGACACAGCACTCATGCAGGATTGTCATTTCCAGCGTGCTCATTCAGAGTCGGAGCCCATCTCAGCATCAGAGTCCTCATCATCACTGGGCGCTGCTGCACAGCACTCTTCCAACAAGCGTTTGAGCCTGGCAATCTCAACCTCCTGTGTTTCGATCTTTTTGTTGGCATCTTCCAACTGGCCTTGGCACGCGTGGAGGGCACTGAAGATGCTTTCGAAGTCCTCTTTGGCCTTTGCGATCTGGTCATCCTTGTACTTCATAGCCTTCTCGACTTCGGTCTTCATAGGTACATCTGAGCTAGAGTCAGAGTCAGAAGATGACTCAGAAGAAGAATCGTCAGCATCCTGCTTCTCATCCTTGATGCCCACAGAAGAAGAATCGTTAGCATCCTGCTTCTCATCCTCGATGGACAAGGGTGCTGCATCCTCAATGGGCAATGGCTTGGACGGCTTTGAGACAAGAGGCTTTGCGAGAAGCTGTACTAGGCGTTCTTGCGCTTGCTGGCTCCAGCCGCCATTGGCACCACCTGGTAGGAGTAGCATACGTTGTACGTTGCACATGGCATTGGTGAGCATTTTCTTTGTCAGAGGCTGACGTGTTGGATGAACATGGATGGTGCCGGCATCGATCTTGGTGAGAATAGTCTCCGTAGTCGGCCTGGACATTCTGACTTCAGGTTCGGGCTTGACCTCTGGGAAGTTCAAAGTCAAGGTTGCTTTGTTTCCCTGTAGTTTGACACGTCCGACCACTGAAAAAGAAGCCATGCTGCAAGGCAAGACGAGTTGCAAGGGAATATTCGGAATGCAAACTTTGAGGCTAAACATTATCAACCCAAATCATATTTGTGAGACATGTTTTCCTTGAAGATTTTGTGACGTTACGATTGCAAGGTCTTTTACAGAAGTATAAGGTCCTAGGACTACCTAAGACTTGCACTAAGAGGTCCTAGGACCTCCCAAAAGGTCCTAGGACCTCCCCAGTACCAAGAACCAAGAACCAAGATTCCCCAAGACTTTCTGTGCAATCTTGGTTCTTGGTTCTTGGTTCCAGTGAGGTCCTAGGACCTCCCAAAAGGTCCTAGGACCTCCCCAGTACCAAGAACCAAGATTCCCCCAAGACTTTCTGTGCAATCTTGGTTCTTGGTTCTTGGTTCCAGTGAGGTCCGAGGACCTCCCAAAAGGTCCTAGGACCTCCCCAGTACCAAGAACCAAGAACCAAGATTCCCCCGAGACTTTCTGTGCAATCTTGGTTCTTGGTTCTTGGTTCCAGTGAGGTCCTAGGACCTCCCAAAAGGTCCTAGGACCTCCCCAGTACCAAGAACCAAGAACCAAGATTCCCCCAAGACTTTCTGTGCAATCTTGGCTCCAGTGAGGTCCTAGGACCTCCCAAAAGGTCCTAGGACCTCCCCAGTACCAAGAACCAAGAACCAAGATTCCCCAAGACTTTCTGTGCAATCTTGGTTCTTGGTTCTTGGTTCCAGTGAGGTCCTAGGACCTCCCAAAAGGTCCTAGGACCTCCCCAGTACCAAGAACCAAGAACCAAGATTCCCCCAAGACTTTCTGTGCAATCTTGGTTCTTGGTTCTTGGTTCCAGTGAGGTCCTAGGACCTCCCAAAAGGTCCTAGGACCTCCCAAGAGGTCCTAGGACCTCCCCAAAACCAAGAACTAAGATTTCACCCCCCACCTCCCGTAATTACTTTCTTTATGTATTATATAATATATATATATGTATGTATATGTATATATATGTATGTGTGTGTATGTGTGTGTGTGTTTGTAACAATGTCCAAATTTATCTGAAAAAACGTTAGGAAAAAATATACCCCAAAATATGCAAAAAAAAACGCCGTAAATACCAGTAAAAGTACAAAAAAGGTAGGTACAGGGGGGGGGCACCATATATATATATATATCATTCTACATCGTTTGCAACCAGCCATTGAACTAGTTTCATTGGTCAAGGTAAATACTGGAAGAATTGCAAGTGAAGCAGGCAGTGCTTTGCGCCTTGCTGCCAAGGTCAAGAGCAAAGTGTGCCTTCAGGTTGAGGCCAAGTGGATTGGGAAATGGATCGTAAGACCTCAGAATCCCCGACCTCACACCTGATCAATGTATAAGACATTATAAGACATTATAAGACCATAAGATTTCCATTGTCATAACAGATATAACATGATATAACAGGCTTTGCTGAGCTGTTCATTTCAACTCGCTCTTATTATTGGCCTCACTTTGCTCCGTCGTGGAAAAACGCACGGATGTCAGGCTTGGATCAGAAACAAAATCGGACTCTCCATATCTCTCCATTCCACAGATTATACATATTCCAATCATATTCCAATCATATTCCACTTCTATTAATCTAAAAAGCCACAGATTCTCCATGGAACATATGGAACTCTCATGAACTCTCCCTCCCAGATCTCCCAGCGCCACATCGGGGTAAGGATGATGATCCCTGGCAGCCACGCGCTGCCCATAGCCACGGTAGATCAAACAATCAAAGATCGTGGAGGACCTCAGCGTTCTGGTGATGGTCGGACCAATTTGGCGACCAATGGGACATGGTTTTTGTCGTTTTTTTTTGGCTGTGATCACATGTGTTTTTTCCAATTACTAGTAATTACTAGCATCACAATTTTCATGAATTTTCCTAATTTTCGACCCATCAAAATCATACGGTAAAGATATGATGAAAAGATAGGAACATGATGTTCGAATCTGTTCAAATCTGTTCGAATGGGATGGAATAGGATGCCCTAGACACTGGAACATCTGGTACCCTAGTTTCAGATGTTTCAGATAACACCAGGGCCCTTTTGCGACTGTCAACTTAGGGACCTTTCTTGACGGATACAGGTTTCCTCAGGTTTCCAAGGCTCGGACATCAAACTCACGAACTTTTCGCGATCGACCTGGGACGACGTGGGAAGCAGGGACTGGACCCCAGATCATTCCAGTTCCAGCTGATAAGAATTCCGGTGGATGTAGATTCAGGCCAAGCACGTCGTAGCTTTCCGCCAAAGCAGACGCCTGGAGAAATTCCAGACACGTCAAAAATCAACTGAGATTACTAGATGACCTTTCCTGCAAGAGAAGATAAAGGAATAGAATTCAACATAATTCAACACTCTTCTGAAAGGAAAATGTCCTTGAATCGAATTGTTTAAACAGTCTTCGTCCTATGGGTTTTCGTGCAAAGGCACTCTTTGAGTCCCCCGGTACACAGGCAACCCCACCTCTGAAAGCGACTGGATTGCTGCAGCAATCAGGAAATTTCCTCCAAGTTTCACCACGTTGGCAGCACCGGCATCTTCGCCGAAATCGTGCACTCCCAACGCAGTCTTCTCCAGCAACGGCACCTCAAATCTGCAGGAAAAACACTGAGCCATCCCAAAATCTCACAGATCTCACTGAATAATACACCTGTAAATTTGGATTCATTATCCAAGATTGAGAATGAAGAAGGTGATATGCGCCCAGGAAATGTGTTTGTTTTTAACCAATTCCAAACATAGTCACTCAAGAAACATCATCTCACAAGAAGCAAAATCAGTGAAACCAACCAATACCTATCAAGGCGAATATGATTGAAGATCATCAAATTAAATCATATAGTATTATCAAGTATTATCATGTATTATTTATCCAAGATATTTCAATACTATCAACTACCACAACCACCTATCCACCGGCTGAGAGGCCCCGCCACCCGCTCCTTAGCCCATTCAGGTCCTGAAACCTTGGGGCATGGGGGTCATGACGAAGCGGGGATCGAAAAAACGCATTGAAACGAAACTGAAAAAAATATGATTTCAAATTAGTTGACTAGTTCATGTCACAATGATAGTTGCTAGTTTACCATCACAAATGTGTATCTTCCAAATCAAAATGGGTATTTAATTAATCATCAGACAGGTGCGTGCATGTAACCAAAACTAGGGTGTGCACGTTTTCTCAAACATTGAAAAGAAACTGCTGTCAACAATAAGGGCACATCCTGTACATGACAAATCAAACGGACGCTGGTAAGTCACTTGATCTCACAGAGATTCTGCCAGTCATGACAAGACGCGAATGGGACTGTGAACTTAACCCACCAAATTGCTCGAAGTCTCAATATGATAAGTGGTATGAATCCATCCATTCATCCATTCTTAGGGCTCTGTGCGCTTGCCGCATCTTTTTGTGCGCTAGACCTGAAGGTCATCTCAAACCTTTAGGCTTTCAGCCTACCTATGAAACTTCCACTGAAATGACATGACCAAAAGGCATGGCCTGTCAAAAGACCGTCCAAATTCGAAAGGCACGAATGTTATGGAACGGCTCTGCAGAGACCGCCAGTTTTCTCCAAGAGGCATGGAGTTTCTGGACGGCTCTTCCGGTTTCAAAAACCACCCCATAAAAAGAGGGGGGGAGAAGGAGGGCCAGTTTTGAGCCTATAAGCCCAAACATGACAAAAAAGACATGTCAATGCCCTCGCCCTAAACGTCGTGACGACAATCAAGGGCTCTGTGCACTTGCCGCATCTTTTTGTGCGCTAGACCTGAAGGTCATCTCAAACCTTTAGGCTTTCAGCCTACTTATGAAACTTCCACTGAAATGACATGACCAAAAGGCATGGCCTGTCAAAAGACCGTCCAAATTCGAAAGGCACGAATGTTATGGAACGGCTCTGCAGAGACCGCCAGTTTTCTCCAAGAGGCATGGAGTTTCTGGACGGCTCTTCCATGGGCCCTATTACGGCCAAAAGGCTGTTGGGCTAGATTCATTTGCGAACTCCTGTATCCTGCAAAGATCTGTTTGTGGAATACGCAAGGATGGAAGTTGCGCGAGGCCATCCTGTAAATAGAGACGACCCACGCTGATTGATTTCCAGCGTCCACGTAATAATATTGCCTCCAGCGGAACCCCACATTGGAGGAGAAAGGTTGCTCCTCCTCGTCTAAGAGAATAAGGTTTATATTCGAAATGATGTACACGAAAGAATCTCAAATGACTGCGAAACATCTCACGAGAGCGGTGGGCTGTAAATGGCCAGATTGTCTGTCCTGGAAAATGTCTTTGACACGTCCACAACGCATCCAAAAGTTGTAAAGTAACTTGATCCCTCAAAGCTACAGCTTCTTTCGTTCCTGTACGAATGCCAGACTTGCTTCCTGACAAAGAAAGGACACCACGTGTCAAATCAAATTCAATGTCACAAAACCGAAGGGATAAGATTTCTCCTGTACGCAAGAGGGCGTGGAATCCCAAAGCAACTAAACAGGCAAATTGGAGGTCACCCAGTCGCACGGCACGGCAGACAATGCTGCGTACCAGCAACTGGGTAATAGGGGGAGCCCTCGATGGTGTCTCTACCCTTCTCCATTGCTTGAATAACCTCCAAGCTTCTCTGAGACTGCCTCGAAGCTCCGGCCAGTAGAAATGGAGCCCTGACAATGCATCTGCAATGAAGTTAACGGACTCTCCACGCGCCCATTGAGCTTCGATCCATTCACAAATGGTATCATCCATACATTGAAGATTTTCTTGTTTTTCCAGATAGGGTACCAAACGTCCCACTGCAAGTTCATACCGTGCCCGGGTTCTGGCTGTGATACTGAAGTCACGTAGCCTCAAACCAGCGCGGTTGCGGCGTCGCTCGGCAGGAGTGCGACCTGCCAGCAACACCCTTCTAGGCTCAACCGGCATTAGCTCCTGGAAGCAGCATCGGTCGGGTTCTCTGCTGAACCCACATGTCCATGGAGCAGCTGGGCTCCCGCTGCTAATTGCAGAGCTCCAATTTGACGTGCAACAGGCTGCAGCAAGTGACTAGAGGTACGCCCCTTACTTAAAATAAGTAAGCATACCATACTATCCTCCAAGTGCAACCATCGTTTATTTAGGGATCGGCTCGAACGAACTTTCCACAGCAACGCATGAAGAATCATTTTCATCTCAAAGAAATTGATGTGTGACGGATGAATCCACTTTGTCTTAAATAAGTGTTTCCACTGCCACCACATAGCGCGAACAGAAACATGGGATTGTGGTTTCTTACCTAACACTTGCCCGGTAGAAACCCGTACATCCGCCCCAGTATGATTAACACTTTGGCCAAGGTGCTGCACCAGTAGTTGACCGCTTGCTTCTTGGTCACCATCGCCTCCATAGGACAGCCACCTTGACATCGGCACTTCAATCGTGGGGTGAGCACTCGCACCAGGAGCAAGACCAAGTCGAAGAATAATTTGCCTCGGAGACATTCGGGGTACCAGCTCTGAACAGAGCACGGCTCCCACTATTGCAAAGGAGGGGATGGAAAAAGAATCTCCCACAAGGCTTTTGCGTGTGTCCTCATATTCTTGGAGGCTTTTCTTCATCTGAGACGCGCTCATGCATGTGGTGGTGTGGCCGGGTCCAAAACCCATAAGTAGTTCACGTTCCGAGCTGTCCAGCAGCCTACTAGGCTGACCCGGACATCTTAACAAAAACTTATCAGCATACTGGTAAGGCGGAAACCTGAAACTGTCATGCTCCCACATGGCAACCATACTTGGTGTGGCTCTACGTAAGCCGGCTGGTACTGGAGGGGGATTTTTCCTCTTAATTGATTTCATAAAGGTGGGAAATTTAACTCCAGTATGGTTTCCATCCCAAGACCAACCGGGTCTTATCCACTGACTATTGTCCAAGCCGGGCCCGTCCACATAGGCCCTGACATAATCACCCTCAGTCCAGAGTGATAGGCCTTCCATCTCATAAATTTCTTCAGAAATCCATGCCGAGCGGGGACGCGAGTATGGCAACGAATCTGCAGGGTCAAGCTTCACTGGTGCCACATCAAGTTCTGCAGAGATTTGTTGCCTTGCCTCCTCGTCCATTGAAGCTACGTTTTCCACACAAAATTTAACCTTGCAGAAGCTCGAGAAAGTATCTTGGATCCAACCAAGTACTTCCAACAGCTTCCAAAACAAATTTGAGCCCTCTCCTTGTAAGTTCATCCGACCAGACCTGACTGATGAAAGATGCACGCATGGGAAACCGGCCCACACGTGAACTTCAATCGCACGAGCATAGTCATTTGCCCAGCGTTGAATGTCGCCTCGCTCCAGGAGATTTATATCAGGATAAGCTTCCACATGGTCCCAAGTGCAGCGCGTGACCCTCACAGCTGCTTTTGAAATTTCCACCGCAATCTTCCCCAAAACTGAGACGCCCAATATATCGTACACACGATAACTTCCACCTATCCCATTAAAAAATGAGATCACCAAAATGGGAAGTCGTATGGGATCGCGGTCGGCTCGCAGCCAGCGATGCACCAAAGAACGTCCCGACCAAGTAAGTGCCTCTGCAACTGCAACAGCTCCTCCTGTTTCTGATGCATCGCTGCAAGTGACCTGATCGTCATATTCCATCTCCAGATCCATCTGTAGTAAAGGGCTCAGGCACATCACTGTCCAAAGCTCTTCAAACAGGCACTGCCTCAGCTTCGGGCTGGGTTGCCATCCTTCCAAACTTTCCCAACATCTTGACAGGCAACCCATAGCTGCCCGGCGAAACTGTAGTATGAAAATCCATCGCCCCAGCACTATCTGAACCTCTCGCTTGTTCCAATTCTTTGTGGTGAGCACATGCAGCGTGGACAACACAGTCTTAAGAATTCGTTCGGGCGAGGAGCCCAGCAATTTCTCAACTCCATCAAATCTGACCCCCAGCTCCGTCACTACGTTCGCGTTAATAACCTGCTTGTCTGCTGCCGACAAGATCCCTGCTTCGCTCCACGCTCTCAAAGATACTTCATGCATAGCGGCTGCTACCCCTGTAGGATGCTCAGGACTGCACTCCCCAGACATAAAATTGTCCAAATATACTTGCCACCACGCACGGTCCGAAGTGGCCAAAGCAGCCGACTGGGTGAACCAGCGAGGTATCCCTTGTACACGTTGTACTTCCAGCTGAGGGTCCAGTCCTTTCATCAAAAGAACTTGCCTGGAAACTTGTTGCATGATTCCAACTGAGGATGCCCATCCCATTGGTAACACTTTGCAGACGGGATGATAAACTGTCCCAGCATCCTTTCCTATCTTGTCTCCTCTCACACTAAAATTAAAACAAAAATATGGTTCCCACACCTCAGGCATTCTAAAAAGATAGAATGCTGACTGCATATCGCTTTGTCCCATCCAAAATAAATCACCCGTCTCAGCGCAGATGGGAACCCAAGCAGTGGGCGAGGGGAGAAAACCAATATCTCCTCGAATCACATGAAAAATTCCATTAGTTGGGATAAAGTTCATGATGACTCTCAATACTGGTTCGCCACTGCCAGTAAAACGCCCAGGTTTGATTACACCAAAAAGCCCGTTAAGGTATTTTCCTCTGCTATCTTCATATGCAACATCTGAGGGTACCCAGTCAATGATCCCACGTTCACATAGCAGCTGAAAAACCTGTAAAGCTTCTCCCTGTCTTACATGAACTCGTGCTTGACAAGGTGCACTGCCTCGCTCGCTTTCCGCAAGGAGAGATTCCAGCGGACGCTCCAAAAGAAGTCGAGTTTGGCCCGTCACAAAGGGCAGCAGTGGCACCGAAGCTCCATGACCTCGTGGGGGTAAACCCTGGGCTATCTGGGACACACTTAAAGGAAGGGGCATTGAGATTTCTTCTCCAGTATAACTGATCCTACGCTCTTTTAAGGTTGTCACCACTTGTTCAAAACTCAGATCACATGGTGAATCCCCCTTCAAGAAACGGTGAATCTTATTCCGAAGATTCCCCAGCACAGCTTCATGTATTTTTCTGCCGCAACTCAGGTCAGGTGAGAATTGTACCCCATAGTAGGAGTTCAGAGCCGCGCAGCACGTCGCCAGCCAACATTCTGTGGCAAGCCCGGAAAAAGATATGAGGCTATGGTCTGAAAACGACCAGCCAGTGTCACTACGTATAGTTACAGGTATCACTACCGGCAGGGGAAACAGTCCGTTGGTTCTTCCTTTACGGCCAACCGACTGTGCAGGTCTAGCACGACTTTTGGGCATTGCCAAAAATTCAGCGAACAATCCCCATGCCAGGTAAACACCAAATTCCTTCAAACACGTGCAGCACTTTAATTTGTGGAGCCACTCTTCACGTGTGAGTGGGGCCTTTCCCCCAATGTCAGCACGGCCAACGTTGCCAGCTGTCTCCTCCACGCTACTCTGTGTTACTCCAGCCTCTATCAACGTTTGCTCTAGGGCGCACGGAAAGGTTGACTTTGTGTCAGCCCTCCCAGCACCCAACTCCTCAGATGGCTTCATCTCCGCAATTTCACCTATAGGGTCTCCTCGAGGAGTAGCCTCAACCACCTCCATCATGCGTCTCCTGCCTTGGGCTTCGCCTCGGCCTCGTGCTTGTTCTCCATCACGCCTTTGCCTTTTCCTTTCCCTTTGCCTTTCTTGCCTTTCCCCTTCACATCTTTGCCTTTTCCTTTGGGCGAGGCCTCGGTCTGCCAACTTGACCAGCCCCCCCCATAGCCTCGCGACCAACTTCCCTTTCCTCCTGCTTTCTCCACTTGGCGCTGGTGCTTCTGCGCCGATAGCAAGATATGCGCTGGCACTGGGCCTTCTTCGTCTGGCCCATAAATCTCCAGATGCTTCGCCGTGGCCCATCCCTGCCGAGTGGCAGTCTCTACTGCCAGCAGTCTCGCTGCTAGCGTATCGGCTAGGTGGGCCAATCTTCCTTCTCGAAGCAAATCGAGACACCTGGACAGCAAAGAAATTTCTCTGCAGTCTCTTGACTTGGTGTCCAGCCCTGGCTTCAGTGCCAGCTGGAAGTATGTGAAGATTTTTGGTCGCTTTCCATCTCCGCTTCCATCCATGTACTCTTCTTCCAAGACCCCGTCTTGGGCCAACTGCTCTACTGCTTGATCCTCCAGCATCTTGAACACTGATCCTGGGCTCTTTTTCGCCCGCTTTTTCAAAGGCGGCACAAGGCTGTCTGATGATTTTGAATCGCTCCTTGACCGACTCCGGCTCGATCGGGTCGATGAATCCGATTTTCTCCTCTTTCTCTTTCGCCTGGATCTGCCCCGGCTCCTCGAACGACTTTTCCTCTTCTTCTCCTTTGAGTCTCTCTTCTCTTCTCGCTTCCTCCTCTCTGCAACTGCCTTCTCCAATCTGTCTTCCACCGTTTTGATCCTCTTCTTCTTTTTCTTCTTCTTGCTCTTCTCTTGGCTCTCCTCTGATACTGATATCAAATCCACGTCCTCGGTCTTCACCTGAGATAGATCCTTCAGCTTCAAGGGCGCAGGTGTGGAGTTTGCCACAACTGGCCCAGTTCCACCCGGGCAAGTCGCCCGCGTGCCATCGCCCCTGAGTGCAGGAGGTCGCGCCGTGCCGTCCCCAGCGAAGGTGACTTTTCGCCCGGAGCGTTCTTTTAACTTCTGCAACCTCTCTTCCAATCTCGTGTCTGGGCCAGCAGGGGGCGCTTGCCTTGACTCGGCCTCCAACTCGGCCAGCGCGGCTTTGACACCCTCTGCAACGGCCTTCTTTGAAGCTGCACTCAACCATTTTTCTGCAAATTCCCCCGGGGGATGCCATGTGAACCGATCCAGATGGAGGCACTCGTCCAAAATAAAAGGACACCTCGTCGTCTCCCCATAGCAGAGATGTATTTTTGTCTTTCCTCGCTTGAAGCGATCTATGAAGGTCTTCTGAAACTCCTTCACTGAGCAGCCCAAACACTTGACCGTGAGCCAGATGCCGTTCTCTGTAGCATCCTTTTCCTTGACCACGACAGCGCACTCTGCACTGCTTGACTCCTCTATGTAGCCTCCAGGGAATACGATGACAGAGCCAGCTGGTACATGCCAATGGCGCCAGAACTCGGCTTCTGCTAAATTGTATGTTGTGGCTACCATAGGTTTGGGCTGCCGTCGAAGGTTTTCTCGGATATCGTCGGGAGAAGGAAAATGCGGGGGTTCCCCCTCTTCGACTCCCTCCGTGGCAGGCGGTATAGGTGGAAATTCCATCTCTCCCACCTAAATGGGGGGTTGACACCCCCTTCAAATCCTTCTCTCGAGCCCTTCCCTGGCCGATGTTGCCAGGTCCAGGACGTTTCCCTTCAGACGTCTGTGACTGCGTCGGAAAGGTTCTGTGGCCTCTCTGTAGTGTCTCTGATGCTTTCGTCCTCCTCTTGTCCTCTTCTTCTTTTTGTGACTGCGTCTTGATGAATGGTGCCCCGGTGGAGGGCCTGCAGGTTCAGCTGGCCGGCGCTGCCCTGCCTCCTGTTTCACCTCAACAGGTGCTTCCTCACGCGGAGGGTCCTCTTCTCTTGCCTCTTCCTCGTCAGACTCCTCTGTGTATTCCTCCTCTTGTTCAGCCTCAGCGGGTGGTTGTGCCCTGACCTTTGGGTAAAGCTCCTGAGCCTTTATTGACCGCCGCAAAGGTGATCTCTCCTCTCTACGCCTCCGGCTCCTCGATCTCTCCCGCGACCGTGGTCTACGATCGGGTACTGGAGGGGGAGGTGGCACGGATCTTCGTCCAGCCTCTCTCCCTGCAGCCACAGCAGGGCCGGAGCCAGCTGAGCTACTCCCCAGATTCCGATCTAGATTGGCGAAAGCTCGGACTAGTCTCGCCGCGTTCAAGATCGTCTCCTCGGCTACCTTTCGCACGCCCGGTTGAAACCAGCGTTGCTTAAGGAGCTCTTGAGAGACGTCTAGTCCTGAGCAGCCAATGCACCACGAATCGCCTTCGACAGGCTCACCTATTTTACACTTATTGCACCTAACGCTCCCTTTAGGGGGCATTCCAGTTTTGAGCCTATAAGCCCAAACATGACAAAAAAGACATGTCAATGCCCTCGCCCTAAACGTCGTGACGACAATCAGGGGTTCAAAGATGTTCAAAGTTTGACGCCGAAAATAGAAAATAAAAATAGTATAAACAATATTAAACAATATTAAACAACATGATCTTCCCATATCTTTCCATCTTCAGCATCTATGCCGCATCAAGCAGCAGGGAATGTGGCTTCTCCTCGTCTCATCCCATCAGGTCGGGCAAAGACAGGAGCAGACACGAAGCCGACTTGTCGTTTGGAGTGCTCCTGCAGCCCTGCCTCAACCGTCTCAACCGTCTCAACCATCGACCCATGACCGATGATCAAATGCCAATGGGATGGCGATGCCGGGCAAATGGAGAGCGAATGCAAATCGAATCTGGAGGGCTCACCAAACACATCCAAATACTTGCCAAATACTTGCCATTATCATAGTAATTCTGGGAATATCGGAGGCACTTCCGCAGCGTTTTGGCTCTACCAGGGTGACCACAAAATTCCCACTGAACTGGTAAGCCCCAAAATATGCCAATTTTGGGATTGACACAATCTATTTCTACATTTGCTGTGGTGATTCAGGCCCCTGGAAAACAGCAGTCATCTTTGCTGCTGATGTTCAATTCAGTTCAATCATTGAGGCAATAACACTAGCGCCCCACTAGAATCCATAAAAAAGTGCCATTTTTTCACATGAAAAGAACACATAAATTTAATAAAGTGTCTAAACCATTGGATTTTTGGACCATTTTCCATCATTTTCCTTGTTTCTCCTCAGCCAGTTCTCGGGAGATGTTGGGAGAGACCGTGGAGCAGGACACATGGATGGCACCTGCGCAAATTGTTCTGTCATGAAGATATATATATATATACATATATATAATATTACATATGTATATATATTATATATATATATTGTAATTGAGTATAATAGTTCAGATATAGGATGGAATTTCGCCACAAGCCGTATGATTTGAATCAGATTTAATGGGGATATAATACGATATAAAACTAACTACAACTATTTCTGTCTGTCTGGAAATGGGATATACCCCCATTTTAATCACTACTTTTTCTGGGGAAAGCCAAGCCACTGGTGGGTTGAAAAACCATGAGATGAATCGGGCGGCGCTCCCCACATTCGACAAACCGAATGGGGCTTCAAAAACTTCGACCATGGAAAGATGGCAAGGTTACCCAGCTCACGCAGGCCACAAGTATGCCTCCCCCAAAAAAGTGGAGGTTTCCCAGAGTCATGGGGAATATCCCCAGTAGCTGGGTGGTTTAGAATGGACAAATCCAAACAAATGGATGATCAGTGGCATTTCAAATATAGAACAGTTTCAACGTAGAGCGGATCTTATCAAATCTATCAAGACTTAAGATTACTTTGTGATGAGAAAGAAACATGGCACTGCAAACACCCCTCGAAATCAACGTAGGCATAGGTGATATATGGTGATATTGATATTCTCAAAAGCCTCTCCCATTGCCAGCGTTCACAAGAGAGTATGTAGTATCATGTGGTGTATCCCCGGGGCCTCGACATGTCATGATCCTCTTGATGGCTGTTGTTGGATTGGGGAATCATAGAAAATATCCAAGCCCAGAACCTGCATTTTCCCACCTCCTCCTTGGCTTTGGAGTGCTGGTAGCAACTCATTCGTCACTGCACGCAAGATGCTGTCATCAGGTAGAGCCGAGAAGACCACAGAGCAGCTCTGACCAACCTGTCCAGGTCGGTTCGTGCCAACTTCTCGGTGGATGGAGGGATCTCCCCGAAACATCCCCAACCTGTGAAAATGTAGGGGTCTATCACATCATAATACAAGCGCTGTCTCCCAATAGTATTGAAAGATTCATAAAGCGAGGGATGGATTAACAAAGGAATGGAAGGGTGGATGCCAGGAAAGCACAGTTTCATGGTCTATTTCTGGACTGGGGCTTCTGCTGATCTCAATCCATAAATAGCAGGCTATCACCCAAAGGCCAAGTCAAAACGTCTTTCCACTTGCACCCAACAGTTTGGGTGGCCATAATATTCCACCACAGTTTAGCTCATGTAGGCACAGGTGAAATTTTAACGCCCCAAACCCATGCTGGGGGTACCCTGAATGTTCACCGACACCCATGATTTCTGCAGGATATTTTGGCATGGCTTAAATCTCAAACCAATCAGATTAGCCAATCTCAAGCCTCATCAACCAGCAACAGCCATCACAGCATCACAAGCATCACAGATTCTTCGCCTCAGCAGTGCTCTTGCCACCTTTGGCCCCCAAGGCTTCAGCGCCTTTCACTGCAGCCTGGTCGCGGTCAAAGACCAGCAAGGACTCACCGGCCTGGCGTGGAATCCCATGGGAATCCCCATGGGAATCCCATGACTTGGCGATAGAAGTAGCAACAAACATGACTTTCATTGGGTTGATTTAATGATTTGTTCCCAGGAAACCATAGGTTACATATATATATATATGTGTGTTTATACTTATGCTAGAATTTTGGTGGGTTCTGCAAAGTCTACCTTCATCCAAATCTGTGACTAGCATGGATTTCAGTTCGATCATATTTGATAGCTCTGCAAGTGGATGTAAATGGATGATATTAGATGAACTGAAGCTGATACCCCCAATCTATGATTCCTTCGTCTTCGTAGTTCTTCCTCTTATTTCTGATCATATATCATATACACTATATCTATGGAATTATATCATTCCAGAACTCTTACTTCTACCAACTACTAACCATTACTCTCAGCTACTGTGACATCTGTCATCAAATTCCAGATTCCCCAGCACCTTGGTGAGGTTGGTGACCATTCCGCTGCCAATCTTCCCCAGCCCCACGAAGCCCAAGGGGCTGCTGGAGGCAGCACGTGCACCTGGCCACAGGAATCATTAGGGCGATGGGAACATGTTTATTATATGCAATAAAAATAAATAAAATGATATAACATAATAAAATATGCAGTAATACAATGACAAGACAGTCTAATATAATAAAAATATATATCATCTAAAACAATATAATAATACATCATAATATATTATAATATAGTGTGCTATAATATAATAAAATGATATAATATAGTACAATGACAAGACAGTCTAATATGATATAACATAACATGCCATGATATAAGATAATATAGCATGATATAACATAATAAAATATGACATAATACAACGACAAGACAATCTAATATAATATAGCATAACATACCATAATATCATATCATATCATATTATATTATATTATAATATATTATGTAATATAACATAGTATAATATGATATTATACTATGACAAGACAATCTAGTATAATATAACATAACATACCATAATATAATATAACAAAATATGACATAATATAATATAATATATGTTGTTTCTAATACATACAATATAATATGATATAATATAATATAATATAATAGTATAATATAATAATATAATATAACATAGTATAATAGAATAAAATATAATACAATGACAAGACAATCTATTATAATAAAAAATAAAATACCATAATATAATATAATACAATATCATTCAATATAATATAATACAATATATTTTTGTCAAACGCATACAATATAATATTTGGGCAAGACCCTGAGGTTTGCCCGGACTCGCAACGAGCGTCCGGGCAAGCCAAGATGACGATGATGATGACGATGATGATGATTACTATTATCATTTTTATCATTATTTTGATATCTTCTTGAAACCCTATAAGAAACCTTAATGACTGTATGGTTAATTGTTTCATGGGGCCGATGGATTTTCATATCTTCTTAAAACCCTATAAGAAACCCCAATGACTGTATGCAGCTGTGTATGGTTAATTCCATGCGATATGTAGAAGCAACATGTTCTGGCTATATGATATGAAGAAGCAACATGTTCTGGTTAACACCCTAGCAACATAAGAATTGAACATAAAATCCTTCCCGTTGTTTGACGTCGTACAGAATTCCCTGGTATTTACGCTATTCTGGGCTTGGGCAAACCTCGGGGTCTGTGTGTAATATGATACAATTTAATATAATATAATATAATATAACATAATACAATATAATATAATAATAATACAATGACCAGACAATCTAACATAACATAACATAATAAAACATTAGAAACCATAATATGATATATAATATGATATAAATGTAAGAAATATAGTATATATAATATTTTATGATATATTGTAATATAATATACTATAATACAATATAGTATAACATGACAAAATATAATATAATGTAATATAATGTAATATAATGTAATATAATGTAACATTATATGATATAATGTAATATAATATGATACAATAAATATAAAATAATAACTAATATAATATAATGTAATATAATGTGATATAATGCAATATAATGCAATACAATGCAATGCAATGTAATATAATATAATGCGATATAAAACAATATATACATGGGAAACATGTTGTTGTCCCGTTCTTGCCATCAAATATGGCAATTATCCTAATTCTTCCCTTAAGTTAAAGTCAAGTGGCAATACTTGCTCTCAATTTGAGGCAGACCAAGCCTGCAAGTTTCTGATCCAAGATGTGACTGAGCATCTGACCAAGTGCGCGCGTGCTCCATCGGCAGGCTTGCTTGCCCAAGATTGGCAAAACCAACATCTTGGCTGATCGAATTGTTGGGTGTATGAAAAGTTGTTGTTGCATGGCCAGTTTCCGGAATTGTTAAATTCCAGCATCTATGCACTTGGATCCATGAGCATCACAGAAAATGCAAGAAACCCACATATTCTCTAATCCTGGTAGTTTCTATATTTCTTCACCACATGCTACCTTCAGTGTTGCAAATGGTCAGGGCTCATTGGTGTTCATGTGTTGACTGCACTCTGATGCTGTGTTCGTGCTCTCATGTCAGGGTACAGTATAATGTGGGAGCTCCCAAAAGAGTTAGCCATCACAGAACCGTGATTCAAATGGCCATTCCGAATGTTTTCTTCACAAGCCCATCTGCAGACTGGGGCTTGTCTGGCGGATCTGGCAGTAACACCCTTTTTTCCCCTGCCGACGATCAAACGAGAGCTTCTGGGCAAGTGACTGTAGTGGGTCCAGCAGAACCGAAGCCTGCGAAGCCTTTCCAGCAGAACAGTCATACCCTAAGGTGGCCTATCTTCGGGCCCCTCGGCCCAATTTTATCATAACCACCTCATTTACTGTATAGAGATGGACGTGTCGGATTTCGATAAATGTTCAACATCTTGAGAATGCAAACTAGGTGGTCTCTTGTACCCAAGAAACCGTGTTAGACTTCATGTCATCAATGTTTTTGTATCAGGAATTTCGGATTTCATCGCACTTCCCATGGATGTCTGTGAGTTTGCTGGCTCACCTGGTAAGCATACATGGGTTTGTTCGGGAAACTTCATTTACTTCTCCACTTGCCTATCTGAGGTTTCAGCAATGAATCAATATGAATCCACCGCTTTATCAAGTCATTTGGGGAAGTGGTTGGTATAGTTTGGTGTATTAATTGTATATACATATATATATATATACATATTATATATATACATATTATATATATACATATTATATATATATACATATTATATATATATACATATTATATATAATATTATATAATATTATGTAATTAAGATTGATTAAGAGAGGAGTGAATTATTTGCGAAAGCCATGGGAACCAATCTGGCAGCTTTCGCCTCTGCTGGAGGGGCCTTGGAGAAAACCAAAATGGTCCGCATTATCTGTGAAACGCACCTCAATAGCGAGGTGAATTTCAAGAAATCAATTGGATTTCTGCGTTTCTGGCTGAAAAGTCTAGAGAAAGTAGATTCTTTCATCTGAAACGCATGGTTTCTCCCTTTGCCTTGAAGAAATTTTACATTTGCGAGGTGCTGCTGTATCCAGTCTTCAGGATGCTCATGTGACAGACTCTTGTGATAGACTTTGGCATTTCAGTAGCAAATACAAGTAAACTACTTGATATTCCCACCAATCAGACCTATCACTGATCAATTCGTGGATTTGCATCACACTCTAGAGTAGGTCCAACTGCGCGACAGTCCAATCCCAAACTGTTATTGGTAAGAGCTTCAACCAACCGGAATTGCCACGAAACAGCACAGAATGGCGCAGAAACACAATGCATGGATGACCAGAAAGCACGAGCTTTGCGTTGCTTGGTCCACTTCTGCCAGGGTGGTAAGCAAAGCCCACTTCCTGACTTCCAGTAAGGTACCAGCACGAGATCATGAGCGATGGGAGGCAGAGATAGCACAGTCCCAAGTTCTCTTCCATCTGTGACTCATCAATGCCGCTTGGCAGGCCCCCAACCCCCACGCATCTCAGGAAGAATTGATAGAAACGTCCTTTCAGCTTCGTTCCAAAAAGTCGCCATCATGCAAAAGGCTCCAATGAATGGAACCAAGTTACCAGACTGCGAAAGTTTCTCTCCGGTTCATGCTGGACAAACTACAATTCAAACCTACACCAACTATAGCCACGTACTGTAAGAAATTATCTCGGATGGTTTTAATTTCTCCTGAAAAATCTAAATTGCATCACATTAGTACAAGTATCACATGATATCTACAATAGCCCTTGATCTCGTACTCGTATAATGTCACAGACACCAACTGACAGCAGCAGTTCCATAAAATGGAAGCTACTGGCGAAGGATGATCGAATCACATTTCCAGTAGCTCATTTCCAAGGTGTATCATGATAATCTACCATTAATAATATCCATAAATATCGAGATAAATGGGTATGTCTCAAAAATTGGGTGTATATATAATATATAAATATAAATCAAATATACATAGGTATACCCCCCAAAATGGCCTGTTCACTTGGTGTGTGGGCCCCCTGTCAGTTAACCCCGCAAACATGCCAAGTTTGAATACGTCAATCATCCTGCGGCTTTATCCATCAGTGTGGTGAATCCTGGCCAGGCTGTCGAAAATTTCAAGCGGTACAGTATCCTATTTTCAGACAAACCATAGACAAACCCAAATTATTTAAATTGATTGTAAAACCCGCTTGGAAACCATCTCTGGCAATGTCACTTCCAACGGCCTATGGAGCTGACCCCCCACCAAACATCAGGGATGTCTGGAAAGGGAATCTGCCCAAACAAGTTTGTGAAAATTGGAGAGGGCTACTAGGGGCCCATCCTGTTTGATCTGTTTTGTCATGTTTTGTTCCTGAAATGGACTGTCAATGAATGGCGTTCGGCTTTCAACTCTTGGATTTGAATAGCTGCACTGCAGCAGGATACCAAACTCAAGGAACTACTGCACGTTCCTGAACGCACACTAGCAATTGCTATCGTGCAGTTGTTATCACGTCCACTTTCGACTCAGCCAAGTACCCCAGCAGGATGCTCACAGCTTATGTCCTCTCATTGCTTCAGGAGCCACGAAGCCTCTTGCAATGGATAGAGGTCAGTCTGGTTCAGTCTATTGCTGCACAAATATACGAATATGTAACTGTGAACAACTTTTGCATCTCACAGCTGCGCAAGTATGCAAGACTTTGTCGCTTGATAGCGGATGTGAATTGGTCGATGATTCTCAGTTCTTAAATTGTATCTGCCACATGCCCACCTACTCAGTGGTTCTTCACATCAACTACTTCAGTGTGTCAACGGTCCCTGCTCCGGAGCCTCCAAAAACAGAAGATGCAAGCCATGTGGTATAATGTGGTAAAGCCAATCATAAACCATCTCCAATAGATGTTTATTATCGGGTATACGGCATACGGTATATTTAGCCGTTACTTCGGATGATTTAAAGGACCCTCAATTGGTTGGTGAATGGGAAGGTTTGTTCCTGGTTTACCACCGTACTTGTGGTCGTTGAGAGATCACTTCTGTCCCAAAATCCCAAGGCGCCCCCATCACCTCCGCGTCAAGACATCCTGCGGCCGAGGTCTCCCCAACAACCAGGTCCAGGTCCCCCATTTCTCCAACCAGGGGATGGCTCAAAATTAGGTAGTCAAACAAAAAAAAAACTTCAATGATACACCATGACCACTGAGATGATTTTACAACCTATCTTCCAATGAAAAGCCATAGCCACTGGGCCACCCAGGCGGGTTACTCAGAAGACGCTGGAGCCGCTCCTGCAGCCTTGGTCCAGGGAATGGGGATGGGATGTCCATTTCTTTGGGCAACCAGAAATTGGGATGAGAGAGAAGAGTTCTACAACAATTGTATACTGTATTCAACATGTTTTTTCTGACGTTGTTTTTTTACAAGTCCAAACATGGACGAATTGAACATCATCGAAGCCTCTGATCACTCTGATCAGCAAAAAATTGGAGGGATAAGATCGACAATAATTTGGATACATAGCCCCATATTCAAAATACGGAAACATCCCCAACTTGCTATGACAAGAATCATCCAGTCCTGTTCTGGGAATCCCATGAAATTCTTGGATCTCTTCTGATCAAACCCGATAGCTGGCACCTCTCCAATCTGCCTTCCTGGGCTGGGAAGAAAACACCAGTTGCTTGGCGTTGCCATGCTGAAACACAAGAATCAACCTGGAGATGGGTGGAATCAGATAGAAGAGTAGAACATCATGGAAAAAAACATGAAAAAACATGGAAAATCATGGACAATTCAAGTTCAGGTGATCCATCCCAACAGGAAAGTGATCAGTTTTTGCCTATCCCAAGACTGGAAGAAACTCTGTAGCCCCAGGTGTGTCGCCGTCACTGCCATGTCTCTGTTCTACGCAGCATCTTGACCATGACGGCACCACGTTCTGAAGCTGTGACCTGAAGTCCAAACTCTTTATGGGACTGTGACTGTTTCAAACAAGGGGGGAAGGGGGAAACCAAAGAACGAGCGCAGTTGTATATTTCATTGGGAGAAAAGAATTGTCTTGGTCAAGAAACATTGACAAAATCCAAACGTTTAGGGGGATTGGACCGGATAATTTCAGATCCATGTACAGTAATCACATGTTCTGAAAGGCAAATGTCCCTTGAAATGTTTCCATGGATTGGAGCATCATGCGAAAGCAGTTGCACTAATTACTTTCTTTGAGATCAACCCCGGAACAAGATTTCAAAAGGTATCAGCCCATTGGCCCATTCATTTTTCGCGGAATGAGCACAGTCACTGATTGGCTATAGGGAAATTCGGAGATGTTGCAGCAAACCATGGCTTTTTTGCCTGAGGTGGAGGTGCCTCATCATCGCCAAGTGCTGAGAAGCCATTGATGCTCTGCCTTCCAGGTCGACGGTCGACGAAAGACTCAACTGACAGGTCACCGTTGAAGGCTTCCACCTTTCCGCCCACAAAATCCTCCCTGCCTGCTGTCTTCAATCTCCTGAAGCAAAATGTCAAAATGTGATCGACTCCAACATCGGCATGGTCAGGAATTTCCATGCAAATCATGCTTCTCTACAATAAGTCTATAAGTATCTAAAAGTAGTATCTGGATGTATCTGGGAGCATCTAAGATACCCAAAGCACTGACCTTGCTTTCCATGGCATGGCCGGGCCCCTGCAAATCTGTTCACTGAAAAGAGGGCATCCTTCCAGGATCAAACGGAACTGCATTCTGGTTGATGGATTCAATCTCCCAGGATATGTGAGTTGATAGCCAATTGGATCATCATCCCAGGTA